GTGTGTGTGTGTGTGTGTGTGTGTGTGTGTGTGTGTGTGTGTGTGTGTGTGTGTGTGTGTATTCTTTTGTGAATGTGTATCCCCTCCATTTGGCTTCACGGTAGGCCGCGTTCTAGTTCTGACCTGGCGTTCTGATATCATTGCCGATATTGCCTGTTTTCACATCAGTTCAGTCGTATTTTATGTAAGATGCAATCGCTTACGTGGAAAAGGTTCCTTAGACTCGCGGAAATAATTTGTTATCAAAGGCCTTGATCTAATCGCCGGTAAACTTGTAAACATTAGGCTGATAAACCGCGTCTTGCACCCATGCATTAGATATGGGGTTCTACAGTGCTCAATCTACTGCAACGTGACGTATTATGAAGTTGCGACGAGAAACTAACCTAAAGTGGACGTTCTTGACGTAACGTAGTCGGTATATTATTGTCTCCGATTAGCCACAAAATCTTATTAAACGATGAGCGATGCGTATCAAAGGCCTGCTATTGTTGCTTATCTGCATAGCAGGGAGCAGCATTGTTTTTATCGCCTTCAGCAATCAACGATCTTCCATTCAGACTATAGTGACGGAGACTCACAAACAATTACGGAGCTTCCAGGCAAGTGTAATAAACCGTTGTTTTTAAATCAACTTTTTATACTGTGTTTATCTCTTCTTTTTTTCACGTTGGAGAGAAAAAGATTAATTGTACAAAAAGTTATGCTAAAAAGTATTTATTAATATTCGTAATAATCTACTTTTGCAGATCTATTTTTTCTTGGTTTTTCTCATATGCAAGATCTTGTTTTTAGGAAAATTTAAAGGATGTTGAGGAAAAACGTCTAGTGACAGATTCCAAGTACCTTGCGTTGCTTGGTCTGGATGGACAGACAACCACCACGCCAATCAGTCCCAAATCTCACAATGTAACGATTGTGTCGCTCGTAAGGCCTGGGAACGAGCAATATATTTATGGCTTCGTTAGAAACGTCAGCCACTTTTTGCCAAATAATAGTATTGTAATTTATAGCGTCGGTTTAAATGAAGATTCCTTACAAAGTATTAGACTTACCTGTAATTCTACAAGATGTAACGTAACTCACTTTGATCTAAGTCCGTTTCCTGCTCACGTTGAAGATGACACGCTTCATGTTTATAGACCTTTAGTTATTCAAGTAAGTAATTGTTGAAAAAGTTTCTACAGGTTTTCAGAAGGAAGATACTAATTGAATAATACTTTTATGTCACAGACAGCTTTAAATACACTAGGTAGTATAATTTATATGGATTCCAATGTACGCCTGAATTCTTCAGACATTGCGAAATATCTTTGTCCAAAATATGGAATCTTAACTTGGCCTACAAGGCACGCCATTAGTTCATTAACACATCCAAAGATGTACGAGTACTTTCATGCCTCCGCTGAGAGCTTCTTCTTTCTCCCACTAATTAGAGCATCACACTTAATAATCAGCAATTTCAAAGACATCAGAGAAAAAGTAATGCTACCTTGGGTCCAGTGTGCATTGACGAGAGATTGTATTTCTCCTATTGGTAGGTATCTTTCTTTTAAATGTTATATTTAATTCCTAAATTTTATGTAGATGTGTTTCCATAATTTTATATGTATTAATAAGTAATTCTTTATATATGTTAAGTTTTTAATTGAATATTTATAGGCGCGCAATCGGCAGGCTGTAGATTCAACAAAAAGCCACAATATCGATATTCTGGTTGTCACGCATATGACACTTCTGCATTAAATATAGTTTTGGGATTGCATTTTAACTTTGATGATACGTACTATGTACACAAGGAGGGGGAGACGTACTTTAACAAGATTCAGCCCGAAGAGATCACCGAAGAATACCTTATGATCACACGACAAAACAATTCCACCGAGACCAACGTTAAGAATTTCATTCAAGAGCGCTAAATCTTTTTTGATCTCAATTTACCTTAGGTAATACGTCGGATAAGCACAACTTAATTTAAGATTGTTAAGCATTCATTTAAATTATAATAAATAGCAAAATGATTAACAAATTTGAAGTTACATTTCAAAGGCATCAAATACCTTTAAATCCTGAATCTACTTCTCTTTCGTTTTTTTTTTCATTCCTTTATTTTTTACAATTGCATTTTTGGTAAAATTAAACGAAATGATAGTATATGTGTTGCAGTCTCATTACATTTATTTATAAGGCACTAAATTGCCGACATTTGACAAAGTTCATATAATTTATAATTTTGTATGTCTTTGATGACCTATACATACTAACACTTGTACTTTTAACAGAGACCGAGAATTCATTCAAGTCCTAAGCTATTATATATAACTTTTTCCGTAAGATCGAAACGTGAAAAGTTAAAATTTTATCTTTAATAATAGCTCATTTTTCATGTTTTCGCCTAAGGAAAAAAGTTACACGATCGCTATCCTGATGACAACATTTTTTTACAAAGTATTCTTTGTCTAGTACAAATAAAACGTAACATTATAGAATACATATATTAAATAATAGAAATATTTTTAAGATTCTTCGCGAAATACACTTATTCTGTATTTGTAAATTAATACGTATTACGCAGCTTATCTGTTCGTATTCTTTATTGATATTGATTTTTTCTTTCTCTTATCGGCCTTCGTTTTTCAATATAACATTTCAATGGAACGCATGAACATATTAAAGTGTGTGATCGTATTATTACGACGACCGTGCATATTTAACATTGTATGATTTACGTCATTTACTCAATCATAGATTTTTCCTCTTCTTGAAGTCGCTCGATATCAGACTTATTCATGAAGTAATATGAAGGTTGCCGGGATTTCTGAAAGCCAAGAAAATTAGCTGTCTGCTTTGTCGCTTATTATATAAATGCACATATACGCGGCTTACTAGATCTTTGACGATGCGTTTCGCACCCGCCTTGATCAATATGTTACTCAAGACTTCCACGGACGTCACGCCCATTGCGTAATGAAGAGCCGTTCTCTCCAACTAAAACAAAAAGGATTAATGTTTCTTATATTTTATTGCAGCATTTCTTATATTTTTAGAATATATTTTTTTAGTATTGTTCATATAACTGTCATCAGTTAATTATCTTAATTAACCTTTAGACTGCCGGGAAAGCCACTTTTGAGTGTGAGTTAAAATACCATTTTTGATGGCATTTTGAATACTAATTGTATTAAACATATATATGTGTATGTTGCCTAAAATATATAAAAATATATAAGTATTGAAAAATATACAAAATAAGTAAAAAATATAAAAAAGTAAAAAAATTATAAAATAAGAAAAAAAATACAAAAAACAAGTTTAAGAACCAAACAAAAAATAAAAATAAAAAAGAAGCTATAAACTTTTTATGTCTACGTCGTTAGCTCTGGGTAATGCTAAATAAAGGAAAGCTCTCTGTATGAGTCTGTATGTTTATATTCATTTATGTTGTCAATATTACGTTTAGGATTCGAGATTTCCTAAATCTATGCTCAGAATTGGAATCAGCAATACCAAAAACCTCCAAATACACTTTTTTGAGAAAATAAACATTTTTCATATTTGATCGTACGTTCCTTGCCGGGAAAGCCACTTTTGTGACTTTACAAAAATCTCGAAATGTTGTGTCATGTGTATGTTACTTTTATAGAAAAATTTTTGAGGAAAAAGAACCACTATTTTAATGAAAAAATGCCGGCAGTCTAAAGGTTAACGCTAACGATTTGTAATCACGTTTACAATCAACATTAGAGATTTACATTACTCAGTTATTCTTAGTGATTCTTTTAATTATTCTGGTTTAATCTGGTTTAATTATTTTTTTCATTATTTATCAGGAGATACGGCAGTATCTCGGCGCTATTTTGCGGATGTATTTTTTCAATGATTCATACATTATCACCGATGCGTAATGTTTCTGGATATGTTTTTGCGATAAACTTGACAAGTTCTTCATTTTCTAGAAGTACAGCGATGTGCAGAGCGCATCGGCCAGCCGAGTTCTTTCCAACCGCCAGCAATTTTCCACCCCCATTATTTTTACTCAAAAGTTCCTTTACACGTTTCTCGTCGTTGGCCCGAACAGCAGCATGTACTTCTTCGCGTTGATTCTAAAATATATATATTAGACGATCACGTTAAGCCATAATTCACAAAATAATATTTTTTGATACTTATTGAACGCCAACTTACTATGTAATTAGAAATTGATTGTAGAAATTGTACGGTAGCTTCGTGGTTTCTTTGCGCGGTTATCTCGGTGATGCTTACTCTGTCATCTTCGGTGTCTAGAATGTGATCGTAGCCCTCAAGTAGAAGCTCGACCAACTTTTCAGTCTCTCCTGCATATCGAATTGAGATCGGATTGAAATAAATTCTCCTAACTTTTATATGAGCTGCATTTTTCTCTTTTTACCTCTTGCCGCAAGATAAATAACGAAGCGGTCGATCTCTTCGATGTTTTCCTGGATGTTCGCCTGTTCGGCAACGTCTCTGGCTGTTCGATACAATTCGTCCCTGAAACCGACATTGACTTGTGTCTCCAGCAGCAGGTGATATAAACCATCCTTTGAATAGGAACGAACCGCAGCGAAGTGGACCATACTTTGCCCATGTTCGTCCTAAGAAACATCGTTTTCATTCTTATTCGTTGTCATTTTGCAGTCACTTTTATTTTTACACATAGAAGAATATCATTCTATTGCTAAGAAAAGTGATTACACTGATTATTTACTTTCTTTCTTTTAGTAACGTTTATCTTCAACAAAGAATATTTTCTTAATAATAATCTTAAAATATGCTTATTAGAAATTTTAGAAAAATTTATGAATATGTACTCAAAACAAGAATTTATTTTAATTTAATAATCTTGATTGAAATATTAAACTTACTAATAGAATTTAAAATATATTTTGAATAATAAATTTGATACTTGTGATGATTTATGATAGATCTGTAGATATATGAACTTTCGAAAAATTTGAAGCGCAAATAATTATTATTTGCGTACAGTATGTATTTTTCCATGTGCGTTGCAAAGGACCTTGTAAATAAATTTTAGCGTAAATTCTAAAAAGTTTTATGCTACGAAAGTTGGAATACATTTTTATTTACATACCCTGTTAGGATTGCTAAATGTGGATTCAGGTATATCCGAATCTGGGCTTTGAGGATAACCGGCGTCATCGTCGAACGTGTCGTTCTCGATATTATTATCCAAATTTTCTTCTTCGTGTTCGGGTATTAAGAGGACATCAGATTCCTGAAAACAGAGTGAAAAAAAATCAGAAACAGTTCAATTTTAATATGATCAATAATGGCATTCTATGACGTTCAATTCTTCTATCGATCGAATCGAACATATACCTGTTCGTTGGCTTTGTTCTTGCTGGCAAAGTTGTATAAATATGTCGCAAGGTATGTGATCGGATCCTTTGGACGTGTATTAGCTACTTCTGTTAATCCTTTAATTAAAGGATCACCCAGCGCTGAAAAACAGATGATTTTGTTACATTGAGTTTTATAAAAGTATACTATAACTATGTCTAATGCAATACTTACATGATGCTAAGTAATGTCCTTCCTCCGTGCGAAATATTGGAATATCAACTCCGCTATCATCTGTAAAATAAATTCATTAGATTGTCAAATAATAATTTAAAAAATATTGTGCGCATGTTATTTTAAAAAATACAGAAAGAGAACGCGATTTTGATGAAGTATCTAAATATTTTAGCTAGATACAGATCTGAAAATAATTTTGTATCATCAAAATAATTATGTAGGAAACTAGGAAACTCAAACATAATGAGCGATGCTTTAAAAAAATTTGATATCTAGCAATCAGCTTCAGTATCTTACATAATTATTTTAATGTGATTCAAGCAAAATTATTTTTAGATCTATATCTAGCTTAATTTTTAGATACTTCAACAAAAGTGTTCTTTCCGTGTAATTAAGTCATAAATTAAAATTTTATTATTAAACTAGCATGCATGTTGTTCTTAGCTTTAATATTTGCAATGTATCTTTTACTGAAAATGATTATTACATTCCTATATAACATGTGCAAATTTTAATAAAGTTTCAGTGAAATCCTAAGCAAAAAGTAATCCTTTGTTTTTATTGTAATTATCTCCTATGATTTAGAAGAATTATTATATTTATGCAATATATATAATCGTTTTCAGCTCTATTAAAGATATATTATGAACTCTGTGCAATACAGTAACTCGGCAAACGTGATGGCAATACATAATTAATATTGTTACGATACAATATATACATATACAAGCTCAAATTTAATGTGCAAAAGCATAAACAATCACAATTGCATAACAAACACGATTGATTTGTCTGAAAAAGTGCACATTGGTGAATTATATTGTATAATACAATGAATAATTATATTCGCGCGCAATTTTCAATCAACAGGCGTATAAATGTCAATTTTTTATCGTTTTATCGATAATAAAGTAATTTTCTATTATTAAGTAGAATATCAATTTTTATTTATTGTTCTTCCATTATAGTAAATATTTTATTGCATAATATTTTATACAAAACAGGATAATAGTAGCAATAAAAATGGAGTACACATAGATACCTGTACATATTTATAAAAATTAACTACAATTTGATACTTAGACGCCTTTTGGTTCATTTTTTAATTAACAAATTTACATTGCGATGCTTAGAATAAGAATAAAAGAGAAGGGTACATAGGTCCATTTTAGTACGAATAATGACACTGAGTTGGAAAGACGTGTGCTTCGCCATTTTTATTTTGTGTGAACATCGACTCGTGCATTACATATAAAAAAAGCTATTGAAAAACTTTAACATATTTTAAGCTTATTGTGCCACCAATATCGCCTCAAAAATTTTTATATATTTGACTTTACATGAAAATATTGTCATGTTTACTAAGAATTTATATAAACACGACAATTTATTGATAAACATTGAATGAAATATTTCCTATAATTCTCACAGTTGTAATTACGAATTTCCCAGTAAATGTTAACTAACCGTAATAATATAACCGTTCAATAATATAACGTGCAATATGTGTTATATTACATTTATACTGTTGAGTGGGAAATTATAACATAATAATGTTACTGCTAGTTTGCTAGGTTTGATTTGAATAAACATTTATTTTGTTACATTTTACATCGAGGAGAATTTCATGTAAAATCGTTATTCTTACGTTAATGTTAAAATATACAAAATTTTTATAATTTGCCGAATTACTCCAAGAGAACAAATATTTACAAGATATAATTGTGAAATATTGTGCGACAATATATCGTGTGTATAATATATACCAATGCTGATTATTTACTAACCTAATCAGCAATCCTGCGATCTCGTCGCCGGTTAATCCGATTAAAAGAGCGACTACGAGTGTAATTTAATGTAATTTCACAAGAGAGACGCTGGGTGCACGAGAGGAAATAAAATAACGTTCACACATCTTTCCAACGCATTTCTCTCTTTTTCTTTCTCTCTCTCTCTCTCTCTCTCCCTCTCGCTTATTATAGTCTAAATATTACTTAAAAAGTTCAGTCTGTCAAGAGTAATTGACGATCAAACATTGGCTGATAATTATCACAGAAGATTTTCACGAATAAGCGTAAATGTTTCTTAAGGAAAAACTTGAGAGAAATTTTAAAGAACGGAGGCTCTCAAAGGCAGATCATTAGTGTTGTTAAATAACGAATCAAAGTGAAATCAGTCGTTTTGCTTTTCAGTATTTAAATATGTTCTGACAATGAATAAGAGTTTTTGCCATGTAAAATTCCTCAGAACATGTCAATTTTTTTGATAAGTTATGTAATATATATACATATACATTTTATAGAAATTATTATTTTTGATAGTTCTCGTTAGGTTGCCTTATGCAGTTCGTTTTTAACAAACTGTTGCTTGCCAATTTTATCTCTAAGCAGGCAGAAGATGATTAAATAGATCATTTTTAATAACTTAAAATCTAATGTTATTGTCTCTTGAAATTGTGACCATCAATTCGTTTATGTCTTCGCGAGATTTTTCGCCGCGTTCGCTCGCTTGCGGAATATGCCAGTGATGAGATTGGCGATCTTCATCGAGTTGTTCAACGATAATTCCTTCTCCAGCGTGATGATATTGTGCACCGCTCTGGAGAAATCCTGGAGGGTCTGCAGTTCGGTAATGGCTAGTGATTGTTGATTGCCGATCCTCACCATGTCGCTTTTCACGGTGTCGCGCACATTCAGGCCGCGCACCACGCATAGGTGTCGCAAATTGTCAGGCGTTTTCGAAAGTTCAGGGAATCGTAAGATCAGGCAGAATCTGATGGTGTTTCCGAGTGTGTGCGGTCGGGCGGACAGAAAACCTAGCTTCTGATCTCGTTTGAATTTCAGTCTTTGGTCGAATATCATCATCAGTTTAGCTACCCTAACATAAGCGCGACCTAGTAAACCTGGCCGGTTCTCGTTGGTGCGACAGATGACCCTCAAGTGATCCTGAATGTTTACCCATGCCGCGAGATCGCCGGCGGTGGTGACGTACACACCACGTCCATAAGGCCAATGCTTGCCGTGAAGACGCCGTTCGTCGTTTGGCTCGAACTCCGTGATTGGTAACAATAGACCGGCTGCCGCTAATTGCGCCCGTATTTGGCTGGGTTGCTCGAGAATTTCATTAAGCGTGAAATATGTGCCGGCCTCGTCCTCGCTGCTTCCTTCCGCCATCAGGTCGGTTATCTCTGGGCTCATTAGTTGATTGGTGATTTCCCTTTCGACCTCCTCCAGTTGATTGACTGTCAAAGTCAATGGCAGGCTGTAATTAACTAGGTTCCGGGTGCACTCTAAAATACCAGCTTGGATATATTTGGCGGTCGGGTCTAAATCGTATTGTTCGAGTGCGGTGACGATCGTTTCATCCGGCGGACCTTCGCCCTCATCGTTTTCGCTGAAAAAACATGGTAGCGAATGATTGGGTAGGTCGCCGCTCGCGGTTACGCAGTGCAGCTCCCGAATGAAGGGATCGAAGAACTCCGTAAAGACGACATAACTTTCAAAATCAGGCGCGACCACGCCATAACCGTGATCTTCGTCTGCGATGCTGCTGATGTTCGAGCGAGCACTCATGCTGGTCTTGCTTCCGTTGCCCGTGACGGTACCGTACCTTTTCAGAGAAGGCCAGATCACGTCAAAGAGATTGTGATCCATGCGAGTCACACGGTGCTTGATCAAATCGAACACGGGTCGTTTTAGGCAACGAGCGACTAGTGTACCGGCGTTCGACGACGGGGTTTTCGGTAACGATGATCGTCGGTTGCCCGCCAACAATCGGAAACATCGTTCCAGGGTTGCCAGGACCTCAGGCTCGCTCACGTCCCGCCGAGCCGAGTAGATATCACCTCCGGGTACTATAGATCTCGGTCGAGTCAGCAGCAGCGGCGGTTGAAAGAACAGCCGGGTTAACCATCGGCGTTGAGAGATGTAGGTTGATGAGGAAAAGCGAATAAGCAAATTTTGCGGTGACGTTAATAGCAATTATCAAAGAATGAATATTAAGCTTTAAATAAAATACTTCACTTGAAGTACATGAGAAGATGAAATTGGTTGATTTTACAATTTATGACGATGATCTTTTGCATATGAGATGTTATATAGTTTTGTAATTATTGCAAGATCAAGAATTTCATGCAATTGTGATGATTAAATCATTTTACGATTAAAATTTTCTTTTTCTTAATCTTATAATAAGTATAATGATCGTTCGATGAATAATTATAACGTTCTAACGTAAATTAAATTAGAGGATAAAAGTGTAGAATTTATATTTCACACCTTGGCTCGATCAACGCGCTGAAGTGTTAAGTATTGACTTGGATACATGCTATTATAAAAATAATTGAGCAAAGCACTAATCAATCTACAAAATTTAAAAGTTAGAAAGGGAAAACATTTCAGCAAGTATTTCGACTAGGATTCTTACGCGATATTTAAGGGATGACCTGATTGCGCTTGTCTAAAAAATATAAATCAATCGTGTACGAAATGAGATATTCTAAAATAATTGAATTAACAATGTTTTTATGTGCGAACGGAAAACAGTTAATAGATACTTCACGAAATCGCGACACATAGAATATTTGTGCCAAGTGCGACATTGTTGAGGATCTTTACGAGATTTTAATTTGAATTAGAAACATCTTTTTGAACATAAAACACGAAGGGTGACGTTGCGAGATGGAGTGCCCGGACGATTTATGTCGCGATCTTTTCTAAATATTTATATTGCTAATGGTGCTTTGAAATGTTTCAAATCAAGAAATACCTTTATCCGTCAACATTTCATCGGCGAGTGCCTCGCTAGCCCCGAAATTGTGAAGAAGTTTTTTGTGCGATAGGTCGTTTTGATTTCTCTTGTAATAATCTGCCTTTTGTTCGAACTGCGTGACAAAAGACAAGATTTTATCAACACCTTGCTTATATTAGAATAATTAATTTATGAGAATTCTGCGAGAATGTTTTCTTAGCATTAAATTAATTCTCTATTCCTACTAGAATTCACAATTTCTTTTAAACTTTATTATTTAGTTGGAGTGCGCAAAATTGCTCTATTCGTGATCGTCGAATCATAATAATAATAAAAAAGAATGTAATAAGAAGTCATAATGGTAGATTAACTCACGTTATCCTCTACTAAAGGATTAGCACCCAGATGTAGCAAAAGATTATAGTAATGACCGTTGTCTGCGAGCGTCGCAGCGTAATGTAATGGAGTTCGTCCGTCGAGATCGATCGCGTTGGTAGTTTCTGGAAACCTCCCTGCCAGATACCTAAATCAAGTATAAAGTATTCAACTGAATGGATTTGATAGTGCCGATTTATAGCCTATCATTCGAACAAAAATCTATCGATATGGCAGAGATAAATCATGAGCTATTGACGATCGGTTTGTCTAACAGTTACATAGACGAGTTACTTATCAAGTAATACCCTTGCATTATATAAGTATCTTTTTTATCAGACAATAACAAGATTTTTAACCTTTAGGGACAGGAAAGTCACTATAGTAGCACTGGAACATTGTTATATTTTGAAGCAAAAAATACAATAAAATAATGAATTGTATAACAAATCTTACTCAAGAAAAAGTTGTAAGATTTTAAATATAGATCTCCATTCTCTAAAGGTTAAAAGTGTTGTTGATTAGAAGGAAGAAATTATAAAATTTTGTCAAAACGCAAACATAAAATATTGAATATAAAATTAAATACATATATATATGTCAAAATATGTTAGTAATACCTAATGATAATGGTATTTCCAAAAACAACAGCCACGTGCAATGGCGTTGCGCCGTGGGGTGACAATTCGTCTCGCGCCACTGCGAATTTACGGCGATCCAGTGCGCTTTGCAGGTCTCGAAGATTTCCTTCTCGCGCTGCCGTGTGCACAGCATGAATTTTTCCCTAATATTACATAATATATATTTTATAAATAAATATATATACATAACGCTTTTGCTTTCTGTGATTGCAACGTACCATATAAGTCGGAACGTGGTCGATGAAAGCTTGAAGTTCGGGATTTCCGCACTGTCGTCCGACCAATCGTCGGCCTTCACCATTGAGAACGAGAGTCGCTAATTGTTCCATGTTGTCATTTTCTATTAAACTATCTATTTCTGAATCTCGACCCATGCTACCCTCAGTCAATTCTACTTCCGCGGGCTCCTTGTGTTCGCCGACGATGACCTGCTGTCATATTCAGGTACAAAATCATGCGCGCGGCTAAGAGACACACGATCGATAGGAGATATTAATCACATATGGGAATTCCACATGTGAATCGATCGTGTGTCTCTCGCCGCGCCTACGCATACTCTACGTATGTGTGTATAGCACACAGGGTGTCCGTAAAAAAAAAAACGTCTACTGGTAACTCTTATTGCGAGTAACTCGAGTCTTATAAATAGATTTCTGTCTAAGAAATCGTACTTTCTAAATTCTTTGGAATGAATTTCACTTAAAGAATGAAAATGGAGCCAATCTTGAAAAAGAGTGACTTAATTTTTATTCTTTAAGAGTGAGAGTTTACTCTTCAGACAATTCACTCTAAAAGTTTTAGAGAGTAAGAGAATTTCTTTTTTTTTTTTCATTTTATTGGAGGAAGTGAATTGCAAATTTTTTCTCAATTTAAAAAATATTATTATTGAACGTAATTACTATTACATATTATACATAGATATTACATAACATCGTAATTTCAGGGACGGACATAGATTGAGATATCCCGGCTTCTTCTTTGTATTATACAAGGCGCAGTGCAGTGATCGTGACAATTCGATTAAGACAATACCTGCTCTTCATCTTGTGCAGGATCGTCAACGCCAGAATCGCCAGTACTAGGCTCGTTTCTTTCTTCGTGTTTGACGGTGGCGCTTTCCTCGATCTTCGGAGATTCCTCATAGATACCATCCTCATTATCGGCGGCCTCAGGACCATCCTCCTCGTCTTTCGTTGGCTCCGCGACAGGTCCAGTTACCACGTCATCGTCCGATGATGCTTTTTCCTCTTGCTCTTCTTCATTCTCATTGGTGGCATCTTCTTCGTTATTTTCTGCTTCAGCTTCGTTTTCGTCTCCTCCGTCATTCGCCTCATCTTCATTTTGTGCTTCCTCCTCTTCTCCATTCTGTGCTTCCTCCTCTTCTCCATTTTGTGCTTCTTGTTCTTCTTCATTTTGTGCTTCTTCTTCTCCATTTGGATTCTCAGCCTCCTCGTCTCCATTCGGAGTTTCTGCCTCTTCGTTCTCTTGCTCATCATCGCCTTTCTGTTTTATCAAATCTCGCATATATAATCCATCATATCATTGACCTGGAATTACGAACTGGAAACCCCCTCCCCTCGTATCGAAAGAGAAAAAAAAAGAAAAAAAATCTTCGTTTATATATATGTATAACTACTCATTCCACTACGACACTACATTTCGACCGGGATGCCATTCTATGTCCGGCTACAAGTGATTTGATAGTGCACTAAATAATTATTAATCATTACAGATGTGTATTATACAATAATAAATATATCAAATCCAAACTTAGACAGGCAGAATATCATGCATAACTTAGACAATGATGATAAATATACCTTCTCATCCGAATCCTTCATTGTGGATTCGGCACTACCAAAAGCGCTATCGTCACTGTTAACCTTCTTCATGCCTCGCATAATGGCTCCCTCCAAGATTCTCCAGTCCCAACTTTTTGGATAAGTATCGGAAACTCGGGGCGCTTCCGGTATCATTGACAAATTCGACAGGTCTACGTCCGAAGGGCGGTTCTTGTAAAATGCAGGCGCTTTTTGTCTCTGATTAACAGCAAGATTTATAGAGTTGTGGTAGCATCTTTATCGATTATTTCTTTCGTTTTAATTATAAATGACCGATTGGTACTTACGTTATCCAATTTACTTTCATCGGCTCCGTGCTCTGTTAAAAGATCATACATAACGCCGTCGTCCTTAAGTGCAGCTGCATAATGCAGCGGAGTCTTTCCTTCGTTGTCTTGAGCCGTTACCGTTGCAGAGCATCTTTCAAGGATTTCACGTGCGATGTCCGTGTATCCCAAACCAGCAGCCTTACGATAGGAAAGATAGGATAACTTTTTCCCGCTTCGAACTTTAGCAGTTGAAAAAATTTATTGGGCTTTTATTATAAGAGCTTACTTTGTGAAGGGCATTTAAGCCATTTCCATCCTTGCCGCATAAAATAATGGGCAAAATAGGTTCCTCCAATTTTGTCTTGAGACCTTCCAAATCGTTATTAATGACTGTTGCGTGGATATCTTTTATTGTGCCCTGTCGAAATCATAATAATTTTATTTAATAATTTTTTAGCCACCGCAATATTAAGATTTTTATTCTTTTATAAATAATTGAACAATTGAGAAATACATGTGTAATTCATCTACTGACGTACCATAATAAAAGGTACGGCCTCTAAGAATCTTCTTATTCGCGGATTATTGCTGGTTTCGCATCGAAGTTTAGATCCATGTCCCTCCCACAACACATGCTGCAATTTTCCGATGTCTTTGTTGTGTATCCATATTCTGATATTGGAGGGTTTGAAATCCATATCTGAGCATAAAGTGAATGTTACGTATAAAGTGATTTAGACAATATCCCAGGAATCTCATGACTTTATTTATATTAAAGAATCTAGAGTAGTGGCACTTTTTATTGTAACAATAAAATCGATAAAAACATAAAAGCTTTCAATGATGGCGGTTTAACAGATAATTAAATCAACTGCAAAATATAAATTTAGATAATTATAACCACTGTACTATTCTTTCGATAAATTTTAGAAATTACTTAGATATAGCTATATCGAATCAATTTATATTAACTAAACAATGAATAGAATATGAAATAAAAATAAGCAATCTCACATGATCATTGTGGAAACATTATAGTATAAAATAGACTCAACTACGTTTCACAACGATGGCATTTAAATAGCGATGTTTTTACGAAATATTCATGAACGGTATGCCTCCTTGAGCTATGTACTATTACAAAGACATTAAATATTTAAAATTCATAAGAAATTTATGGCTCAATAAATATTAAATGCCAGAATAATTCCGTGTTTAGAGTGTCATGTTCTTCATGACAGGGAAATTCCAAATTCCGTTAGAATGTCACATCTTTATCACGGTAAAGATGTTGATGATTATTATTCTCAACAGATTTTGTTTCCTCTGAATGTAATTTTGTTGCGATATTTATAATTTCAAAAGTTACGTCATATTTGTATCAAAGATTGTTTGCATAATTTAAATTGCAAAAGTTGGTGTCTCTGCAGATACATCGGAAACAGTTCTACCCGCTATATTCAGGAATATCTGTTGTTAAAAATTAATTGTGACTTGGTTAGATCTATTGATGCACGCTTTCGATAATAGTTTCATGCACGCTACACTTAATATTTTATATCGTCTTGAATACGCGGATGGCAAGTACAGTTGCTAGTTAATAAATTTTCTAGGAAGTTGAGCAGTGTACGGAGTTTGTCATATTACTGACACGTTTTCAGTTGCACATGCAGTGCATGTAGACATTTTATTACACGGTAAAGAGAACTTGTTTTTACGTTACCTGTACCTATTTACAACTCTTTACCTATCATGCTTCAGTATTTCTAATAAATTATTATTGCCGCAATGGTTCGTGAAACTCTATGATCACGCGAGATTTCTGAAGGATTGAACGTGTAAATACGAAAACAATAATAACAGTCTTTGTGTGAAAATATAACGATGTAGTGGGTAGTTCTAATTGTGCAAGAGCAATCTTTCAATTTATAGCGAAAAGATGAAATATATGTATTAAATTATTTTTGTACATGAAAATATTAGCAACGTTTTAACGAAACATATTATTTTTAATTTATTTTTTAAATAATAGAAATAGTTCAAGCTATTTTCGTATCATGCGCAAGCAATTTTACAAGACTTTCTTATGTACAATCGCGTAGGAAGAGAAGTCGATTGTTGGAATGTATATTTACAGGAAATTGCTCGACTTCCTCGAGCGTAATTGCTAGCATGGCAGTACGATCGAAGAATGGAAGATGAGTTCTTATCATTGGTGAAATTAGAATTCAGCCGTTGTTAGGATGATAGGTCGATTCACGACCTATTTGTTTGTGAAGTCATTTAACGAAAAAGGAATGATAGTCGTAGTTTCATGTAATTATGTTACATTGCAATTTTTTTACAATTTATCTTATTTGTGTCAGTGCGATGAATGTTTAAGATAAGAGATGTCAAGATTAAGAATGAAATAATTTTTGCATAGCATAAAGTTGTGTAATTCGACTAAAAAAAGTTTATAGAGCTTTGCTCCTTCATTTAGATTTTATAATTCGCACGAGGTGATTCTTCGTTTCGATCATGTCTCTGTATCGAACGCTGCAGTTACCCTTGCCTTACAAATTTATGTGCTATCGATTCTTCACGGTCATTAGAAACGGATATGTAGGGCATAAGGCGAAGAATCTATATCCGCGAAAGTAGGAAATAGGCGAAAAATGCTATAGCATTCCGTCGGTCACAAGGTTGCCCATTGAATCGTTCGCGATGTTTCCTCGAAATTGTTTTAACGACTTGCTGACCAACCAGCGAAATTAATATAATATTTAAACACGCTTATCCACTGGTATTGATTGTAAAAAGTCAGGAAATGTTGTGTATGTGTATATATATTAACAATGCAAGACACTTTGTAAAAGTACTTAGCTTATCTATTTAATTCTTACTAAGAGGGGATATTATGTATGCTTTCTAAATTCTTTGGAGTGGAATCTCACTTAAAAGAGCGAAAATTGTACCACTCTTTTTCAAGACTGGCTCAATTTTCACTCTTTAAAGAGATTCCACTCTAAAAAGTTTTAAAGAGTATTTAAAGATTTTAAAGAATATCTTACGTGATATGTAGAGCAAAAGAAAAATATAATTTTCGATCAAGAAAAATAATTTTCTTTATATTATTATAAAATCAAAAACATGCCTAATATCTTTAACTTTTAAAATGAAATAACAATACTCACTATCCTTTGCGGTACTTTTTCTTCGTCGAGTTGTCATCTCTACTTCCGGTAATTCAATTTCCGAAGAATGTTCCAAGTAATAAGAGGCCGGATTTCCTTTCTTGTCACAAATACTAGCGTCACATCCGCCTTCTACGAGAATATCCCAGATTGGATCAGGATTTTTACATACACAACAATAATGCAAGGCTGTTCGTCCCTCCTAAATCCGTAAAGAATAACATATGAAGTATAATCGTCTAATCACAAATGGATTTAGAGTTTTCAAGATTTACGTTTTCAATGAGAGGGTGTCGAACAAACGTGTATGATAAAGTCGATATATGCTAGATCAAAATTGTTTCATTCGTTTTTGTGTATTTGTATATATATCTGTTAGTGCAATCTCATGGCTAGCAAGGAAAGAACAGGTGGTTTACACTTCGTTACTATCAGCGTCACGCGATGCGGAGCCGTGACAAACATTGCTAGGAAGAAGTACTGTTCGATTATTCAGGAGTTTCTTCTCGAGCAAGTTGACAAGCATTTGCGATGCGACACGATTCTATCGTAAAAATAGGCGAACTTTATGAATTATAGAAGATAACCGATCGAAGTTAATACTTGCGTTACTATGTTAAAGCTCGTGTAAATTAAGACGATTAAGGTAAATGTTGTTTTTGAAATAGAGCAATTTAAAAAGAGAGAAATTCAATGGATTAGTTTTATAAAAATTGCTATCATTAAATAAACTCTTTATTATTATATTTAAGATACTTTAGTTGAAACCGATTGAGTGTACAGTAAAATTTTTTACGATGCATGTAATTCGTTTTTACGGCTTATAGCAATGTTGGAGAAGATTTACCCTATCTTTCTGTTGTGGCGTAATAGGGTAATTTTCTACGAGCCAAGAAACTATCTCGGGTTGATCATGGTAGACCGCTTTGTGTATCAAAGGTACTCCACATGAATCTTTCGCGATCGCCAGCTTTTTCTTCGACTCCTCAGAAATTATCTTCTGCGTTTCAGCTAACGAGCCGCGCGCAACAGCATCGTGTACTTGAGAGATCTTCGTCTAAAATAAATCAAATGATTTGTTTGATTTTTATCAATACTTTTTCTTCTAATGAAACTTTTTCAGCTTGAGAGTAATTTTTCAGATTGGTAAAATTGTGGCTGTTTAAAATAAATCTTGTCTATCTACTTACCAAATAGTTGGGGAGTCCCTTCAGGAAGACACGAGTTCTAAGATCTTGCGACTGTTCACCTAACAAACGCGCGCCCCGACCCTCCAATACAACATTTTCGAGTCTCTCAAGTTCGCCACGATTCAACCAATTTTTTACAGCCGAATGCATTTCAGCCCCTGCAACAGAATGACAATCCCAAAATTTAAAAGATAAATATTATAAATATAGAATAATCTCGTGACGCAGTTTATTTATAAGAGTATTATAATATTTTTTTATTTAAAGTGACACTCTATCCCATTTTATAAAATGTGTTGCATTTGTTATTGATTGAAATTAACATGAGAGCTTTTTAATGTATTTGTGTTCTATAGAGGATTAGCAGACAGGTTTCACAGACATTTCGTCATTACCGGCTTCTCTTTGTTATTGATTCGCATGTTCCGCAGCATTCAAATATATTTTCGCTTGCATATTCATAGTGCTTTATGGATGATTGGCGGATCAGGATGTAACAGCGATATTCATGACACGCGAAAAGTCATATTAGTCGAAAGCGCGCATAGAGATTCTCCAATACATAGTTAAAAGGCTTCAATATGTAGTTTGTCGGGAGTTCACGTTCCGACAGATTCTCTTCAATTATTGAGCATAATTATGCTAACTATTCTCGCTATCCTGCAAAAGATCGTATCGTACTGCGATTTCGGCAATTACGTCGCGGTGATTTCATTATGCAATATCGCACTGGATCTCGCCGGTTATTTATTCATTATTATAAACCTCATCATTAATCCGGTACACGCATTTGGATTTTTCCTTCTGCGAAAAGCAGTCGGTGAATTCCCTGTTTCTATCTATTCAATGCTAATGCGCGTGGATTAATTTAATAGAATATAAACTATCGTATAGATTCTATCATCGTGGATTAATTTAACAGAATATAAACATATCGTATAGATTCTATCATCGTGATTTATGTGTTTTCTATTTGTATTTTCGTATTTTAGTAGAAGCACATTTATTTATTAAGTATTCTTTAATTACATGTATTTTTATTATTTTAAGCATTAATAAACAATTTCTATTCTTTTTGGAAACAGCAACGTATTCTTAAATATGAGTAAGTGCAGTTGTTTAGCGTGCCATATAATTTCGTTTCGCATAATTGCGTATGATATATTATTTCAAATATAATACGATTATAAAAATTAGGTTAATAATGTTTTGGACTTAATATCCTGTATATTTTAGAAAATATGATTTGATTAGTATTCGTAAGATAATGAATAAAGCTTTTCATGCGTGAGCTTCTAAAACAAATTCTATATATCTTTGTAAAAAACATTTGTTAATACGAATTAACAAATGTTTTTACACTGTTTACAATCTAAACAAAGACAGAAATTAAATTGTGAGAAATTAAATTTTTTAAGTCTAAACAAAGAGAGAAATTAAATTGTGCCTTTCAGATTTCAATCGCGAATGTTGCGAAAGCAATCGATATGATTTTGTAATCATAACAATTATTCTTTATACAAAGTCTAATATTACACGAAGTCTAATATTACACGAAGTCTAATATTACAAGAAAATAAAGGCATATTTTGCGAATTCTCGCTAGTTAAAAATTATTTAAAACATATTTTCTTTATAGATTCAAAAATTGAAACAGATCGGTAAGATAAATTCGGCATATTATATTAAGTTATCAATGGCTAACATTACAACTTATGAATATTTTCACTAAGCACGTTTAAAAAAGACGTTTTTTTATGTTAACAAAAAGAATTGTTAAAAAAATATTCAACTAAAGGATAAATCAAATCGGTAGTGTTTTATTCGGCAGTGCATTAAAGGAAAAGTGGTACCTGATTGGGTCTGATTCGCTTCATTTCTGTGTCGATCAAATGAACTATGCGGGTCAGAAAATGTGCATAGTACGTTGTAGCGCGTTCTAAAAAGATATCACACACAGGCGTCGCGACGCTGCGACACGAGGAAGCGTCGCGCGTCGAATGAAGCCGACGCTCGGCGTCACGACGCCACCTGTACGAACCTGTGTTTTTCACAAGCGGAAAGTCTGTGCTTGGAGGGTTTTTTGGAGTATTTGTATGAATTCTTGATTGATTTAATTCTTTATTTATTCACCTGAACTGGACGTGAAGGAGAATTGTCCTCTTTCACGTCTAATTCAGACGAATAAATAAAGAATTAACAATCAAGAATTCATGTTACAGAAGATACTTTGGCAGTCATTGATTTCTTCCGACGGAACTGCATTCTTTTATTTGGCAGACTAACACTGCATTTGTCTCGTGTCAAATCTCTCTCAAATGAAATAAGATGCGTAGCATGTTTATTTTCCCCGCCTATGTTAATAACCACGTGTCAAAGTAATGATAAATTATGTTATAATGATAGAAGCACCGCCGCTTACGAGAATTTGCTAAAAAAATCTTCCAAAAGTTTCCATTGCGCAATATTTTCCTAGTAATCAGTATTTCATCTTTTTCTTGAACTAACAATTAAAAAAATAATCGAAGAAAGATAAAATAATTAATATCAAAATGAGGTATCACAGAAGTGTGCTTTAGTCAAGCTCACTCTCTACCCATCAGTGTAAGCTGCTAATCAAACAAAGTAATTTCATTATACAAATGACACGCAAGGACATTATTAAAATTGAGCGGCAAGGCCAAAGAAATAAATATTTCCCTGAAAAGGGACTTTTTTCACGGAAGTACTCGTTAATATACGTATAATTATAGTTATAAATGAAATTAATTTCGTAATATTCAACAATAATTAGTACAATAGTAGTAATTAATATTGCAATAGTAATTAATATTGCAATGTCTAATATGATGAAATGATGCAAAAACGAATTCATCACGAAATGTGTGTTCTCTGATCAAATAGTGTTTAAAACGGAAATAACTTTAGTCAATATCTTCGTGAAAGAAAACTTTCAGGGATGACTTTTATCTTTCATTCATCGACACTGTCGCAGTAACCCTGATTGAGTGATCGACTAAGGAAACGAACTATCATATTTCGTCGCGCTTTAATTCGGTATGTCTCATCTATCACTTCATTTTTTACGTCTTATATGTGCGTTTTTTATTCTCACATATTTGTTCTCATATCACGATGCTGCAATCGATGTTAGTGGGTACGGTGCAATGACACATCGATCATACTACGGCTTATAGATACATTAGATACCTCCGTGTCGCGTGAACTCTTCAAACTGATTTTGCTTTTGTTGAAACATACAATGCGTTGTAACAAAGATAATTTAAAAATTAAAAAGCTTGTGATTTCAGATGAAATTAGTAGAGGAGGTGGTATAATTATGACCAGTGTATATATATTGTGGCCTCCCTTAATATCTCCGCTATTATATAGCGAATCCTAATGATTACTTATGGAATTATTTGTTCACTAGCTCGCCGTTACACCATAACGCTAATATATCAATACTCAATAGCCAGCACTTGTTATAACGCATTTTTATTTCCAAGTATTTCGAAACGTTTCTAAGGTACATTTTAGCATTTAATTACATCTACTTTCTCATTTTTTTTAAACTTGAGCGTATTATCACACGAATATATGTATTTTTGAGTGTGTTATTTGCTATTTAGCATTTTATTTGACTGTATATATTTTAAATTATGCAAATTTAAACAATAGCATGGCATTTTGCTAATGTGGCCCTCTGTGGGTATTGATTATTCATCGGTCTCTTTTTTGAGATTTTCATATCAAAATAATTATTTGATAATCAATTGTAGCTCTACTGTTAATCTACTGTTAATCTAATAGTTTATATTATATGTACTATTTTTAGTATAGAGATTTTTAGTACTGAGCATCTTATATGCAGAAATTATGTGAATGTATATACATTTATTTATATACATTTTAAAATGTACATAAATAAATTATTTTTTTAATTAATTTTGTGACCAAATATTGTTTTTTTAAACAAAACTAATTTTTTGAGGCTATTTTTATGATAGGCCACATACCACCCATATTTTTTTTCAAGTCATTATACAATATCGCCACATTTTTATTAATAGTGTCCTAAGTAATATATTTCGCAATTTTGAGTCCAAAATCAATTCAACAACATTTTAACGAATGTAATTGTCAAGTTTTAAATTTAAATATTGATTATTAACCAAGTTATTATGTAAAATATAACTTGGGTGCCATAATACCACCTTCTCCTCTAGTAGTTTATATTTTAATTTAACAAGCTAGATTGAATTTGTAATTGAACGAAAAACATAAAAATTTATCGCATAAAAGTGTAGGTATCGCTTATATATAAATCTATAGTCTAAAACTATAAATCTATAGTCTTAAAACTATGACAATCACCTTTTGATCGTAACTCTACCAAGAAATAAGATAATTATTGAAGCCGCCTTTACAATATCGCGGATGAATATATCGTCTTGCGTACTATTTAATGAGAAACCCCATTCTCGATTCTTATCGGAACGTTAATTATTAATAATACGTTTAATTCGCCACTATTATATCGAAAACGTCTTTCTGATTCATCGTATTACGTAAGACACCTTTTATCTTGAAACGGAACAAAACACGTTTGAAAGCTTCGAGCCACTTTGTAAGACTGACGATATATCGTTTTCCACGTGTCCTATTCACCCAAGTTCTATATTATTTATGAGGGATATAGCTAGAAAGTATAGTTTGGTGCCATAATGCCGCCATGAAAGCGACAATCAACTACCTAATGGTTAATTCCGAATAGTTGATTGTTCCACATTCAGAAGCGAAAAAACTTGAACGCATTAGGCGTGCGTAAATGTTTTCATTAAATTAAAAAGATGTTATATATATGGACATATTTTATATTATATAATTATATATAATTATATGTAAAATATATATGTCAATTTTATATATAATTATACCGAGCGGGTAACCGCTTAATGTAATCGTGGGACAGAGTCCTTGAAATTATTATAAAATTCACATGAAATCCCTATGTATAATCCGATAATTACATATACAACCACGAGAAATCATTGTATAATATTGAATAAAATCGTATATTTTACCAAATGACTTCATATATGTAGTGAAAATAATTATTTTTAATCAGATGAAATCATGTAATCTGTGGGACAATATTTCAGCTAGTGGTTACCCCCTCGAATTATACAATATATAATTTTATATAATTGTATATAATTATATATGAAACATTTTTTCCCGGGAAGAACTTACGAAAAGCTATGAAATAAACATTACTTTTTTATGATAATTTACTTCTAATGTGGCACTAAAAATATATTTTTAAATGCTCGATTCTGTTCAAATATGTTGAAATTTAAGGCAGATATCATATATAATTATGTCATATATAATTATTGCGTAAGAAAGTATTGCTAATCGTCATAAATGACATGATTCATTATAAGACGAACAATTTTACATATGAGGGCATATGCTGTGTATAGTGATTTTAATTCCTTTTGTTTAAAGAAGATCAGTAGATCATATAATATATAAATGTACAGTATGATTGATATCCACATTAATAACGGCTTCAGATGACGTGGCCAATGTATGTTAACATGAACATATATTACATATACACACACACACACACACACACACGTCGTGCATACATTATATGAATGTAGGCCAATATTTAGCGAATATGTGCAAAGTTGACATATTTGGCTACGTCGTCTAGAGCCACTGTTATATGCATAATTAAGCATATAGGACAATATTTAATGAATGTGAGCAAAGTTGGATAAAACGAATAATGAGAAAAGAATTATTATTTCACTGTAATCTAGACATAGAAAAATATCATTCTATTATTTACTCAATTTTCTTTCTTTTAAGTAACGCTTATCCTTAACGAAGAATATTTTTTTGATAACAATCTTAAAATATACTTATTACAAATTTTATAATAACTCATTTGTTATCATGTACTCAAAACATAAATTAATTTTCTTTTGAAGAATATTGTATAAAATTGATCGAAGAAGTGACTTTATACATATAATAAGCAAATCGAGTTTTTAATCATTTTGATTAAAGTATTAAATTTACTAGGATTCAGAACATATCTTAAATAAATTTGACGTTTGTAATGAACTTATGATAAATTTGCAGTTATATAAACTTTTGAAATCTTTGAAAGAAATAATTATTATTTGTGTACGATATGTATTTTTTTGTAACTGCCAAATGTGTAACTGCCAAACGTGCGCATTGGCTAAAATTCTAGGCCAACGTTATTTCGTTTGAAAAAATATTAAAATGTTTTTATAACGAATGTCATCTAACATTGATATTAATATTGATAAGTGGAAATAGAGTTTATACACATGACAGGATAATGTCACATTGGCTAATGTGAGGTGTATTGGCCATGTTGTCTTGGAACTGACTTTAGAATTTATTCAGAAGCGATTGAGTAAATTGTCAAGCGTTAGCAAATTCCGATCATCATTGTATAAAGGTGATCAACTTTAAAAAAAGGATTTGGTTACTTGGCAATCAGTATGATTATTGCCGTGATACGAGTTGTGTTATTTAATTACAAAAATATGTTTGCGATTTTTGCACTTCTTCTGTTTTCCGTGGTCTTCGCGTCTGGTAAGCAATTTTACTCTTAATAATTTAGCATACCGATAAAAAAACTATCATAATGAGAAAAAAGTGTTTGATATTTGGTACTATAATTGCATAGTAGAATATAATTATGATTAGGAATTCTATTTTTATAATTATTACTCCTATAATGTTAGTAATAATAACTTATACAAATATTAAATATTTTTGATAGGTATATAAAACCATAAATATAATTATTATTACTAACATGTTATAGCAGTAATAATGATATAAGAAAAGGAGCTCCTAATTATAAATATTTTACTATATAATTTTATAGTCATAAATATCAAACATGTTTTTTTCTCAGGATATTTTTACTAGTAATGATTAAATTTTTCATCAAGTGTTTAACTTCGTTGGGGGATACTTAACGCTTAGTATAATTGATTTTAGACGAGAGGTCGAACAGAACGGATTTGAAATGTTTTGGATTTGCTATTCATAACGTATCTCTTTCCGCATATTATCCTGTATTTGGAACGGACGATAAACGTAATCATCTAGATGATCTAGGAAAAGAATTGAGGACTCTCCAGGTTTGTAAGCGTGACAGACGCAATGTGGCAAAAACGACTTACAAACTATTCTCTCTAATATATACGAATTCATTTTAGGATTATATTGATGGTCGCACTCATTTCGTTACTGTTGCTGGTAATTTAAAATCTGGCATTTCGTATGGAACGAAGATATGCATAGAAAAATTGAATGAGCAATTCGGGAGACAAATTCCCCTGCAGGTGTGTAATTATATTATGTTTGCTATATTATAAAATATGATACTCGGCAATGATGTTTCTCCATGGCATATATTGAAAATATAGAAAGAATAAAATAATATTTATTTAATTTCAGATAAGGGACCAGAGTGACTACGAATACGATGGTCCCAAAGAAGTTCTCGATTTCTCGAGATTGGAAATTTGCGTCAGAACTGAGGAGGATACTTACGATAAATACCTCAATGACTTTGTTACTGTTTATATAGAATAATCACATGGAAATTATGTATTTGATTTGATTTATGGATTTGTTAATTGCTAATAATACTATTAATTTAATATTTTATAATAATTATAATAATTATAATGTTATACTATATATGGAATTGAATTAAACCTTTTATGTATATATATAAATAACGATTGTTTGGTTTATTTTTACAAATATCTATATATTAATTAATCCGATAAAGCGATATACATTAGTATGAAATTACGATGGTGTAAATTTTGACATTTATGGAGTCAAATACATTGTGAATTTCATAAATATTCATTAATTGTTAATTGATTACGCAATCATGATTTATGATCGTTTTGATCGCGACTGATAGAAAAGATTTTCATTACGCATCGTATTAAAAACAATATATATTATTATTTATTGACTTCCGACCAATGAGGCCAAGACTTTATCATTGTGTACAGACTATTTCCGGGACATTCGGTTTGCCAGGTTTGTCGATGTCCAAGAAGCTTGTAATCACTTTTTATTTCATTGTTTTCTACTCCATAAGCAATCAAGTTAGCTACTGCTTGTACCGCCGCTGCATTCGGTGTTCGGTCTAATAAGAAAAACGTTAGAGGAATATATGTTACTTACATGCGATATTAATAACAAATCCATTTTATTTCTGATATTGCTTACTTCTGTAATCTCCAATGATGCAAATTCCAATACTCTTGTTGTTGAAAGGTATAGAATGAGCGCCTTTCTTGCCCCATCCGCGACCCTCATACACGTTTCCGTCTTCACCAACTAGGAAATTATAGCCAATATCGGTCCATCCTCTTTTGTTCATGTGCTCATTCTTGAAACAAAATTTGATAACCGTTATGACGTGCAAGTACATATCATTATTTATTATTAATACTTATATATTTATTATTTATTAATATCATTATTTACTTCTTATTTATAAATTTATTATCTATTAAAACGCAAAATAAAAGAGAATCAATTTTATTCTATTAAAATAGATATGCTTCTGATTTATATAAAATATTGTAAAATATTACTTGAGTTGTATATGGTTTGTGTACGATGAGTTACAGTTAAAAAAGATTTGCCGTTCAAAAAAAGTTTTGTTTTTTGATATATTAATTACCTGGAACTGTTTCACTTTTAATTGACATGCAGCTTGAGTTTCGCAACCGGGGCCAACCGAATGATGAATAATCACATAAGGTGCTGGTTTTAATTTTAATATAGAAGCTTGCGATTTCGGTTCTCTAGCGTTCCATTCTGTTCTAAAAATAATGTTTGGACTATCTGAAAAAACAATTAAAAATGAATGATTATGCTTCATGTAAGTATAAACATTAGCAATGAATTATAATAAATTTTAATTAAATTAGTTGATTAAAATTTAATTCTAAAATTCAATTTAGTTAATTGAGTTTAAAAGAGCTATTATTTTTAATAACCTTTAAATATAAAAATCTATTTTACATCATTGCTTTTTTCTAAAGGATGAACGCGAAGATTTATGAGCCCACATGCTTCTTATTATATCTTCTAAATTTTACGTGAACAGAATACTTTATTGCTCAGCGGATAATATTGTTTCTTGAATTAGATCCTTATAAGAATATATGAATACTAAATGAATGCTATTATAAGATAATTACATGCATGCCTCTGATTTTCACTGGTGATAAAAATGTGAGAATATATATGAAAATATTTATAAATACTGCGAAGAGTAAAAATATTTCTCACTCACAAATTGAAATTAATTTGTGATTATCGTATTTTGGTTTGAAGGAAAAATTATTTGAAATGCACAAATAATGTCAATGTATTGACGTAATAAATTATCAATCTTGACACGGGATATTTTCACAATAATTTATCACATCGATAAATATTTTGCTTTATGCAAATATATTTAACTACTATACTTGTCGCGCAAATACATTATTAATTAATCGATAACAATAAAAGCGTTTCCTCATCATCATATAAGTATAATGAGACATACAATTATTATACATAAGTATAATAAGATAGTTCAATTTATCAAGAAAATACGAAAAGGCCATTAGGATGAGGAATTCATTTTTATTGAAAATTAACTTTTAGTTTTACAATAACTTTATATCTTGCCGCTTACTTGCAATTACTATCACAAAATTAATTTCTATGAATTATCTTTGAAACTAATTGCAAGGATAAGAATTTTGCTAGGCTTACGCAAAATATTCTTTTAACAACTTTTAACATGCACTGTAAGAAATATTTTAAAAAATTGTTATGTTCACAGAGGCACAGAGCGAAATTCACAGTTTAAACTCGCGGTATAAATAATATATTAATTGAATTACTGGCAGCAGTCTCCTGGGCGATCAGTATTACATAGACTGTCACGAAAATTAATGTTGTCGTCGTCGCGATGTACATTTTGACTTGCAAAACGATACTGATGTCATATGCAACTTGATATTCAATACATTCGGGGAGACGCTATTCGCGCTATTTAATGCCACAAATTGTTCGCAGAATTATAGATAGCGCTAACAATCATAAAATTACTAATGGTAGCATTTTACGTCATAACTGTGCGCTATCAACGCTATTTCTTCCGAGATAGGGTTACCATCCATCCTCTTTTCCTCAGATACTATCCTCTTTTTTTAGCGCGTTCGAGCGGATCTTTTAAAGGCATCCGGGATAATTGTGAACGTCCGGGGTTTTAGAAAATCTTCTAAATTTTGTACTTTAATTCCTCTCCCGCGTTATTCTGTATTAGTCCTGACTTACAATAGCTGTAGTAATCTTTAATCTTTAATCTGAAAAACTGATCGATCATAGTTGAATATGAGAAAAATAATCGACTATATAATTGGTCAATTTCTTACATTAAATTAGTACTATTAATGAACAATTAGAAATATGTGAAATAATTATTCGTTTACTGTTCTAATTAATTTTACTAGCCTACATATACACGCATTTTCACATGCGTCCGGGGTTTCAAAGCGAAATGTCCAGGGTTTTTGGTCTGTAAGTTCTAGTTTTGAAAATTTTGATATGACAACCTATTCCGAGGTAGTATATTGGTAGCGTTAGTGTTTGCAGCACTTATATCACTATATGTATATGGGTCAAACGTCATTTCAAGAACCATTATAGTTTATAGTTTCCTGTACATCCAAATTCAATTAAATCACTGAAGAAAAGCAGGGAATAGATTTAAAAAAAAAGGCGGCGATACTTTATATTTATATCATTGTTGATATCATTTATACATTTTGCTAACAATAAGAAATAAATTATTTTAGCACCGTAACAGTTTAAATTCTAAAAATAATGCATATAAATAAACCCTGAAAAATCATAAAAATGAAAAGGTCAAGCCATGTTTAAAAAAAGATCCTCAAAAATTTAAACTTTTATAAATTTAAATGATTATCTAAAATAATATATTATCATGAAAAGCATAGTAATGATTTTTTGTAGAACTTTATAGAGTTTTTTTCAGAAATAAGCGTAAGAGAAATAAACAGAAGATAGCGTCTCCTCGAACGCACCCAATATATGTATATAAAGCACTTTTAAATAAAGATATTGTACGGGGCATGATCTCTAACCACATGGCCTATAACAGATATGTATACGTGTGTCCATATACATGCACATTTGAAGTAGTCTCCGATCGGGATTTCCCCGCGAATCCATTGACTTGAAAAAGAGGGAAAAGACTAACGGAAATTTTAGCATCGATAATAGTGCTTAAATCATTTAATTGGAATGTTGACTTATACATACATATATTTACATCTTTTGTGACCAAATTTATATATATTTTATTGTACACAAATACTGTTATATATAGAACTATGTATTATTGGCTAATAAGAAATGCGAAACAATACAACAACGAGACAATAGATACATTTTAAATGCGTATAATGAAAATGATAAATATAAAAGATAGTATTGTACATCATTCATATGTTACTTAAAAGAGAGAACAAGGTTTTTTAAGGAACAGATAACCGTCATTAATCACACAAATTGACCTACTAATAAGATAACGCGAAATTATTGATAAACGCGTTCTAATAACGTTTCGATTTGCTCGCGCTTTGGTCAAAGCTTTTGATTAGCACAAACAGCGAAACGCACTACGAAAATCTAACTTGGACTCTTATCTCTTCTGATCTTTCTGAACTTTGCTCGAAAAATAGTATATGATGATGAAGTTGCGATAATATTACATTATGCACGATTATCTTATCGACGTTATTTTACGTGTCTGACAAAACAGTGTTTTTATGAGCGTTCTCAGGAGATAATCTTCGTGATTGACTAACAGTAAATTAACGTTTTTTTTCCAGATTTACTACCCGGAAGTATTTAAATCATCCATCATTGGCGCTGATGAGAGTGAAGAACGCAGTATGCAGGTCAGTTCATCAGATATAATATGTGTAACGCAAATTCCAAAGAGTGGTTTTGTCAATGCGTCAGTCGTAAAATCATTTTTCTAAAAGATATATGTACGATCCTCTCGTTTGTAGTAGGTATCAATATTAATTCAATCATTTCAATGTCCGTGAAATTTGCGGTCATAATTTACATTATACATGTTTGAATGTATTTACATATACATTATAGAACAGAGTACCTAAGATGATTTTATCAGAGTAATCCATACGAAATTATGCCAAAGACAATTGTACGGCATCGTGCTATTTCGATTACCATTGTCGTTAATTAAACCCGAAGACCATGACCTTAGAGCATATATTGTTGCAACGAGCATAGCCATGTAAAAGAACGGCTCGCACGCGAACCAAGGTGAGAGTGACATTGATCTTGTCGAACTTGCGTGAGAGATACAAAATATTTATGTTATATACTTTAGAATGTCTTGTTTGATTTTTTAACGATCTGGAACGTGTACATTACGTGTACGTAAACTTTGAGTTTTAACTAATGATAATTTTATTGTTACGTAGTTTAATTGCTATGACGTATATATGTTAGTGCGGAGAAACTAGTATACGAGGTCACTTTGTATATCGGAGGAATCACCTTCGCGAGACAGAGAAAGTCATTTTTTTTTTTAAACGACTGTTCACGGCAACGAAAATATTTCGTAACGGTAATAGTAGAGGTAGCAACGGTTATATCCAATGTTTACAGCATATCGAACATACTATTATATATACATAATATAAAATTATAAGCTTTGCTTATATACTAAATAGCGTAAGCGGATTTCTAGAAGCTAGTGATAATCACGCGAATCTATCAAGCTCTTTTTATAAACGAGAAAAAAAAGAAACAGAAATATACGGCAGTATATTTCGACGTAAAATACGACTGTAAAGCCGAGATTTATAGTCGATTCTTATATTTAAGACTGTCTTAAATACAGTTTTAAGATGTCATAAGTCAATCACAGACAGAGTCGTATTAACATTTTAATATGTTACTTAAGACGGTCTTAAAATAAGAACAGACTATGAATACCGGGCCTAAGTATTCTTTTTAATACACGGAAAAAACGGTTTTGCTAGATACAGAAAATAATTTTATTTGAATCATCAAAATAATTTTTATATACGACGCTCACTGCAGGTTACTAGAATGCTCAAAACTTTTTGCAGCATTTCTCATCATGCTTAAGTTTTCCACATAATTATTTTGATAGTTCAATAAAATTATTTTCAAATCTGTATTTATATCTAAATTTTTAGATAGTTCAGTAAAATCGTTCTTTTTTTGTAAAAATGAAATTATAATATAATTTATAAAATTATAATAATTATTAAATTATAATAATTTTTTTTATCGTACTTACAATCCTTTGTTAATTAGGATTCGTTATAATTATGGTCGACATATTTGACAAGGACTTAGAAATGCCATCATAGAATAACGTTCGCTTTGCTGTTTTCTTCTACAGTATTATCTATCGACTTTGTTGTGGTGCAGGTTGGACGTATGTGAGGTTTTGGGTTTGCAGTCCAACGGGGAAGGTTAACTACGAACTTGTAAAAAGTTTCGCCTGGGCATTCCGTGTCTCGCACTTGTCGATGACCAATCACGTTGTAATTCTTTCTTATCTTGCCGAGTGAAACCCCATGAGCTATCAGCTTATTCAACGTCTTCAGGGCGGCCTCGTTCGGAAGAAAGTCTGCGAAATCATACATTTACGTGCGTCACAATGATTTCTTTGACGCAGAAGACGATACGATATCTCAAGGAAGATGTCTCAATATGTTGTTTTACACAAAAGATTAATTGTTTTAGTAAAGTCAACTTGAAATGACACTCTTGGATTTTTAAGTTGGATTCTAAGGATAATTTATCCTTCATTTATATATGCAATTTATTATTTCGTAATTGTAGTACGCAAGAGACTGGTGTAAAAGAAAGAATCATTTTCCAATAAGAAAAATTTGACAATTATTCTCAACGATTTTTCAAAAATTATTAATTTTTTCTCAATGGAATGTTATTTAATTTACACGGAAAAAATAGTTTTGCTCAAGTAAAATTTAGCTAAATACAGATCTAAAAATAATTTTATTGGATTATCAAAATAATTATGTAGGATGCCTCGGTTGGTTGCTAGAGTGTCAAAATTTTTTTGCAGATTACTCTCATTATGTTTATTGTCCTACAGAATTATTTTAGTAGTTTAACAAAATTATTTTCGAAATTGTGTCAAGCTGAATTTTTTAAATACTTCAGCAAAATTGATCTTTCTGTGTATTATATATATCCGATAATATATCAATCCTATTTATTCTTAATTACCGGTGAAGTCTCCTATGATGCATATGCCAATACTCTGGGTATTGTATCCAATTGCATGCGCGCCAGTATAATCCCAACCGCGACCCACGTAAACGTTACCGTCTTCGCCAATGACGAAATTATATCCAATGTCCCACCAGCCTCGCTCATCCAGATGCAAATCTTGATATTTTCTAACGATATTAGAACACGTCTCCTGATCCCGACAGTACCTAGGTATACCGCCATGATGGACCACCACGTATGGTGCTGGTTTTATTGGCATGATCTCGAAATTGAGACGCTTTCTGGCTTTCCATTCCTTTCGGCCGATAATTCTTAGGCTCTCTGAACGCTGAGAATCTATTTATTACAGATAAATTATTAATAAATTATTTCCGAATTAAATTAACTCTTCGTAGCTTAAACGATCTTAAAATACGGACGGAAAGATTAACATGTGTAAACTATTGGTGTGCTCAATTGCTATTTAAATACATTATAGATTCTTGATAATAATAATAATAATAATGATATAAAGAATTATGGGTTTCCTGCATTGTCGCGTAGAATAGGTAACATAGAACTTGGTAGATATAAATTGGAGTTAGCTAACGACTTAGCACGAGCAAGCACATTTTCAGCAATTAGTTGCGCAATTGCAAATATACTTCTATCGTGCAGAAATTATTTCGTCCTTGAGATACGATGATAGATTGCCTAATCAGATTTCCAAGTTGTAAAATACAATAATTTCGGCTCAGACGCGTCCTGCAGATGTAGCGGAAAACTTTGGAAAAATACTGACTAGTCATCAAAGCGTTTTTGTTAAGAGGAATGCAAATTGTTTGTTTACTGCATCGCACGTTTTATCTCGAACAATTTTATTTTTTCTGAATATACGTTCAATCGCGCAAATGAACTTTATACCGGCATCATACTATACGGTTTAACAAGGCGAAAAATATAAAATTATAACTTAAAAAAAAAAAGAAAATTATGTTTTCTCTTATACGAGCATATACTGTAACAATTTCGAAATATTATAATATGGTTGATTATCCTTGTAGAATAATTTTCGTGACATTGCACAAACTGGTATCGTAGAATGTTGTCATATTGTTTAGATATAAACAACTGCATTTTAATTTTGTATTGAGCGTCGTAACACTGTTATGAAACTAGATATTACTTAGGCACTAGTTACTAACAACTCCGTTGTAAATGTAGCTGCTTTTAGCAAAAGTTGCGTAGTTGTGAGCCATGTATTTATTATACTTATACTTATCATATCTAACCGTGGACTTCATATTATGACGATTAAATACTTTAGGTTGCATACAGAAATGACTCACAACAATTAAATACACGCCAGTGAAACTCAATTCGGAAGTTCGCAGATCTCTTTCAACTCATCGACAACGGAATAAAAGTTAAAAGTCGAATAAAAATTAATTTGTTGCGGATGTTTACAATATTTTTTATTACATATTTACATAAATAAAGATATACGCAGGAAATATAAATATAGCTAGCTAGTTATCGAATAGACTGAAAAAATTATCATAAAATTCGTTTCCGTATTGTTTTTTCTTTTTTTTTTTTTTTTTGAGAGGTTCTACTTTGCGCATACAAGAATGATCGAAAAAGAACCATTAAAGACTTTATATAAAAGAACAATAAAAACACAAATAATAATTAAAAAACCTACTTTGTTGTAAATAATAGGGAAGATTATGACACCCAAGGGCACATGTACCTTGTTACATGTGTCCCTGGATATCACAATTTCGTCTATTATTTACAAAACACGTGACACACTAATTATTTTTTTAATAATAATAATTTTTTTAATGTTAGCAACTCTCTCAGTTATATTACTTCATGCGAAAAATAATATAACTGAGCGATCGATATATTAAAAATCTCATTATTATTAAAAGAATAATTAATTTGTCCCAAAGTATATATATTATGTTCCTCGCTATTACAATCTTCTCTACTTACATATTATAAATAATACAAAAAGATTGCTCTTTAAATTTGTTATATGTATTACAAATCTTCTTATAAATATCTACTGCGTGATCCACAATATTATTAATGTCGCGTGATTTTCTTTGCCGTAGAAGAAACTACGTAGAAGAACTAATTCTGAAAATATGATATACTTTCGATTTCGATATAAAATCTCGAGTGGCTTACCGGTTGCATTGATGAAATTCGTGTTGTCAATGGGAATGGCGAGCACTGCATGCTCGAGGAAACCAAAGAGGAGTACGAAGGCATGTAACACCGATAAGTGAATGAAATAAGAGGACAACCTCATCATGGTAATTGACACCTTTACAGCGCGTGTCAAAAGTGAAACTGGATAGTCATCATGATGCCGCGTCCGCTTTTAAACGAAAATCCAAATGGCAGCCGGGAAGTCCCCTCGGATGAAGAGTCGCACGTCGAGAACCAACCCGTTTGGTAATCCCTTAACCCTGTCCCCTCTTCAACGCGTTTGTCACAGTGACTACAACATTGACAATGACAACGACTTCGACGAGAAGTGACACTTGTTCGAGTATTCCACTACCCTGTATTCCGAAAATTTACACAATATCTGTATCATTCTGATTGCTATCGAAACGCAGAAGAAAACAGCATTGCATTGTCTACGCGATAAGAAATCGAACATAATAATTGGCAAAGTGAGTGAATAATGGAGCGACGAAAAATACCGTGAAAATAATTACATAAAAAAGAGGGATGACACTGGAAAGCTTTTATGTCAAAATAATAAATATGTTATTAACATTCATGCGTTAATATATTCTAAGAGATTGGAAACAGAAAAGTGCTGAAAAAATTCATAAAATAAGTAATCAAAAATTTGTAAAGAATAAGCAAATGATGCCTGTTAGAAAAAAAGATCATCTTTTTTTTAACTTAAGCTTAATATTTATAACGCGGTTATTTATGAATTAATGTTTATTTCTACCAATGCAAATTAACTTTGATTTCTGTTTAATTTACTGTGTCTTTTTCTAATGTTTAAAACTGGAAAAAAAAATAAGAAAAAATAAAAAATAAGAAAAACTGCTTAAAATTAACCTACATTAATAAAAATGAACATGAATGTGCTGATGTCAGGTTTAGGATTACTTGTAGGTATATGACAGAGAAAAGAAAGAGAGTTATGAAGTCTTGGTACAATATTGATTCTATTTATTATATTTATTTTCTTATTTATACAATTTCTTACGTTTTTTTTTCTAAGCACAGCGATTACGTTATATGAACACGATTCGCACGGTCTTATCAAATGGATAGTGAATTTCCGATAAGTAACGGTATCTAGAAGTTACGTAATCAATTGATATAGCGCAATTATACAGAACACATGAAATTGATTTATTTAGTGAATTCGGCCTTTCAATTATTTTTTATTCTCGTTGCCTTGATCAACAATCCAGAAATTTTAATAAACAACATCAGCATATAATTTATTAAAATATCTACGCATTTCTACATATGAATAACGTTAATGACTTGACATTTTCATGGCATTTGGATATCTGATCCATAATCTGCCACCTAATAATATATTTGTCTTCTGATAAGAATGCATCGAACGATCGATGCAATTGGTATAAATACGAACTACGCTATCTTCAAATTGGTTCTATTGAATTTGATGTAATCTGATTTATGATTCAAATGTAAGTAGTGAGATATATTTTTTTTCTAGTATTATATTGCCCGTAATTTTAGGAAAATGAAATCATAATTGCAATAATGTGAAAATAATTGAAATAGACGAAGACAGTGTTTTGCATTCGATAATGACAATCACTTCATCGAATTACAGTAGAAAAAGTACACATCGTTCGGTATACATTTTTATTTTGTTTCTGTTTGGAATAATAACGTCAACGTATAACGAAGAGGCACATCTTGTTTGTGAGCGTATGATCTAGAGATAACACTTTATTCACGAAAGGCGTCGAATGACCTTTGTTTACTCGTTGTAGCTGTCGACTAATTATTTCCTGCGATCGTTTGTCATTGGCGTAATTCTTACGACTCACGATATGCTGCGTATCGAGGTTCTATTGAAAGAACGAATTGTGCTTCCTAGATCGATAAGAATATAAAATATCAATAAACTTGTTAAAAACGCGATATGCTACAGAATTTATCTCGAGTTCCACTACTGCATTAAACAATACGCGGATAATTATATAAAAAATAGGTGACAGCTAATGCAGCACCTGATTACTATAGAAAAAAAAAATAAAAAAAAACGAAATAGAAATTGCTTAAATAATCATGATAAAATTGTGAAAATTGACGTATAGTCGTGAACATAATGTTAACATTGTCAAAGTAGTAAAAATTATATATATAGTGAACGAAGATATTTTTTTTCCAGTATAAAAATGAATGAGAACGAGTGACCGCCTTATAATAATTTAAAACAATCGAACAATAAAATTCTTTTGTAAATTTTTTAATTCCTTAATTATCCTAAATTTTTTAATCCTTTTTTAATCCTTTTTTAATTCCTTTAATGAATGACAAAATTATTGTTGGGAATCAATGTTACCAGAAACGATATCGACGATTAAATTGACAATGGAAAAATAATACCGATATAATTAATGACTTTGTTCGAAAAATTGTCTGATTATGGAGCAACGATAAGCTTTACTACAGAATTTTATCACGTATACTACATTATTGTAAGAAAATGGGAGAACGCAACTCTTTCTTTTTCTTGTAGAAATAAATTGACTAAATATATTGGCCTTAAATGTATTATTTTGCAAACACATTTTACAACAAAATAAATTTTTCAAATGAAAGACAAACAATTAAGTTTTCAATAGCAGTTATTGTAGTTACATAAAAATAATTCAAATTGTGATTTAAAATTTAATTCTTCAGTGGATCTATTTGGCATCAATTCAACTTGCTCGAATACTTGTGTATTATAAGATATTTAATTTTTTAAACTCCTAAGTATTATATAATATTGTTCTTGGAATACACGAATGTAAAAATTTCACGACTATATTCCAGATGTCGTGATTCTCCAAGCAAGTTTTGAAGTTTGAAAAGTGCAGATCTCGCAGTTTTCTGACTTACCATCGTAGATATACTGAAACGTTGGTTGGTGCAGAAAGAAGACAGAGAGGATGTATCTGCATTTTACATGGAAAATGTTTACTGGCGCGTTTACGACACCTATACGTACACGTTGAACTATAATATAAGCATCAGAAAGAAACCTGTGAGAGGATGTAAGGGCCTTTCTCCTGTAACCATAAAATGCCGCCGCGCATTACTGCCCTCTGAAAAAGTGGATGTAAACTACACAACAATATCAATTTTTTTGTGGTGCTCCTGATGGAAATAAATCGCTGAAATAACTAAAATCTATCAAATTAAGACTCAGACTTCCCTCTGCCTATATTCACAGTCAGATCTTATATTTAAGATCGTCTTAAATACAGTCTTAAGATGCCATGAATCAATCAGAAAGTATTAGCATCTTGGGACATTCCTTAAGATGGTTTTAAAATAAGAACAGACTATGAATACCGGCCTTAATGCCTATTGCACACTGGATACGATGAGAAATCAGCGACGAGCGATATCCAATAAAAATTCTGCTTTGTATCGTCACGAGCATAAAAGCAGAGCTGTCATACGATTCAAAACCGATATGTAATAGGTGCGTTCGGAGAGCCGCTATTAGCGCTATTTGTGTCATTCTATCCTTGTTTCACGTCTAAACAACGAAGATAGAATGACAGAATAGCGCTAATAGCTGTAATTTTTAATCTGTAATTTTTTATTTTTTCCAGCTTTGAACACAAAATATACCAGCGACAAATACATTAGCATATATATTTTAATCGTGAAAAAGGAATTTTTATTCTGTGAAACCATTACGAAGAAATTCGACAGGAACAAAAACATTAAAAACGCTAGTTTTATCGGTAATACAGGCGGCTCCAGCATCCCCTTAATCGGAGAATATTAAAAATGTAACGAATAGATTATTTTACTCATTTTGTAATATATTAATATTTCGATAGTTAAATGATCGGCGCGTGACCTTGGGGTTTGCATGGTGCGAGCGGGCGACATGGGGTGACTCGGGGTGATGCGGCGCGTCACGTTTACGCGCAGTTACCGCGCAGTCATTCCCTTACCGATGCTCGTACAGATGGGTAGTCGTGTCGCGTGTCGCTCTTCTTCACATTTCTTTTTGAAACCTTATCGCGAAGAATGCCAAATATAATACGAAACGTAGTACTTTATAAATACTCAGTATACGATTATACGTATACTAACTTGCACGTTAAATTTGAATTATTTATAAAAGGATCGACATTACAACCGTACGTGTATCACGGAACAGATATTTTGTACGGTTCATTCATTTGGAATGAAAACGCGATGGAAAAACAGAATTTATTACTATTTCGCGATAATTGCGGACGACAATTATTTTTGTTTAACGTAAAATTTTTCTCTCGCTTGAGTAAAACTCTCGATTATTCTTCGAACGATGTCACACGAGTAATAAAAAAAAACAACGTTATAATAAATAGCCTCATGCAAATAACGCAATTTATGCGATTCCTACTTTCACAATTAATACAGTTTGCGTAATTAATAATTTAATTAATTTTTCGTGCATCATTCGTGATATGATTCGTATAAAAAATTGAGCGTAACTTTAGAACTATTTGTCGATAATAAAAAAGAGATTTCCCTTTTCTATTCTCTAGCTCATTCCATATCTTACAGACATCGCAATAAGAGATTCAGCCCTTTTATCTGCTCTGAATTTATTTCGCAATGGTGGCAAATTGACATGTTTTTGATATTCATTTCTAAAAGTTAATCGATAATTGCACAGTAGTATGTATAATAGCTGTATATTACATTTTTTCAGATGATATCTTCCCTCTCACGGGTACACCTTGACGTGGTGGGAGGGCTCAGTACCCAGAGGATATACACGAAAAGAACGATTTTTCTCAAGAATATAAAAATTTTCGGATCTATCTGAATGATATATCTAGATAAAATTTTAGATGTTGAGTAAAATCGTTCTCTTCGAGTAAATCTAACGACGGGGAAGCTAACGTACCCTCGTCGCCGATTTAAATAAAAGTGAACGAACCGCAGCCGGTTCGTCGCGTCGCGCGTTTGTTTCGGGAGTGCCGTTAAAGTTATATCGGACTAATGGACTTTTAACAAAACCTATTCGATCAAATTCTAATTCGACAGTGGAATCATATCTTCGATGTTTCGACAGGAAAGCGAAACTCTCTTTGAGACGTTGCTGCTTAATGCAGGTGACCGGTCACTGGTGCAACGCTCTCACGCCTCTTACGAGGTGAGGCCGGCCGTGTAATGTCACGTGAGTGTTCGCGCGGTTTAGCAACTACTGTTGCTGTCGGCTAATTGAGGACACGCTCTGTCTGTCGGCAAACGGTTCGGCCCTTAGCGGTAAGAAGCGATTGATTGACTCGGATTCGTCTCTGCGTCTATTCTGTTACTCGTTATACAGTCGTTATGAGTTTATAACGATTGCATATCGCGTTACAGAATTTCGCTGATGGTCGCCCAAAAAGGAGTTGTATAACTCTGGTCAGGGCGATCATTTCTCTGTGTTTATCTACCAGTTAAATCGCGTTTAATCTGACTTGGTCAGAGCCTAGCACTTAGTAGGATCTTTTTTTAAAGACCTAGCTCGTGACGAGGGGTTGGATCCTATTTCCTGAATTGTCTAAATTGTTAGACTCGGCAATGGGTACCAACTTTTCTCTTATTAGAGGTGCTTGTCACGTCTACCAGCCTCTTTGAATCGCTCGTGGTACAGCACCACTTGTGTCACACTAGAACTAGTGCTAGGGCGTATGCCTGAGCCAATTTTAAACGTGATTTTGCGTAAATCAGAGGCGATGGACTCGATACGATCGATTTCGTCTTCTTTCGTGTCGGGCTTAACTCTTGTTCGATATTCATCGTGTGTTTCGCGTGTACTCGTCGACATGCAGTGTTGATTCCACCGATCGAAATGGAAATTACAAATCATTGGTTTTGTAAACGTGAAATACCGTAGTGTCGCGCGAAAGACTTTCATAAATAATTAGTCCGCGCGCGATTATAGTGTATTATTCGCGAGTGTTTTACGCGAGTGTCCTGTGCGAGAGGATGTCAACCCGATTCTGAGAGGAGGAGGAGGTCTGGCAGAGGCATCAGGCACCGGCGGAGCAACCTTGCGGTAAATATCATTTTTTACTTATGTAACATTAGTATCTTTCTTCTGTTTATTTTTGAGTCGTTTTATTTTAATGATTTAAAAATGATAATATTAAAAATAATTAAATAAGATTAAAAATGAATATAAAAAAAGGATTATTTAAAAATTATTTTGAAATTTTAAATATGTATTTTTAAGAAAATGTATAATTGATTTTATAAATATAACGGAATGGTAAATTAAAAAATTCGACCCTTATAAGAATGATATATTTTGAAAATTATATGATTATTTTCAAGAGAACTTTACATTTAGTAAATATTTTTTAATCTTTATTGATCTTTTTGCTCTGTTTTAATTTGGATTTTATATTCTTTTTGTTACAGAATCGTCGTAGAGATTTTGTTGATATAACTCCGCTGTTGCACATCGGGTTGGTGAGTGATAAATTAATGTTTTTATTGTTTTTTTTAATATTCTCTGATAAATAGGCTTTATTGCATGGTTTTTGTTTTACTTCTTACATTCGTTACGCGCACTCAGCTCATGAATATTTTAGATATTTCAATTGTGTTACAATAAGCGATTATTAATTTGTAATAACTATTTGTTACACAAAATCCGTGTAATAAAGTCTATTTACTTTGGCTTTACTACAAATGCTTTACAACAACTACAATGGCTTTTTATTACTTTGAATCGTATAATTCTCTCATTTTCGTCTTATTCCGCATTCTTAATACGGGAAATGTAACAGGTAAATTATATTTAAATTACATATAATCTTCAAATGTATGTGCTATTTATATATATTATTCTATTTAGCTGAAATTGTTTCATAATTTAAAATAAATTCTGCATTTATCTTTATTTAAAGGATATGATATATTATTAATTTTTATTTAATTCTAAATCACCAAAGTGGGCAATAAAAAATTGAGATATGTTGGCATGTCAAAAATATTTCACGTGAGCAATTATGTAAAAAAAACTCCAATCTAGTAAAAACCTCTTTTTACTTTTTGCCTTTTGTCAGCACATTGCAATTGATACGAAATATTTGAAATTATAAAATAAATGTCAAATATGTGTCACAATATAATTACAATATCACATTAAGCGACTCGGGCCGCTAAAACAAGATATAAGAAATTATTTAATTAATTCCGCGACAAAATACACTAATTGGATTTTAGTTTATTTCACATAATATAAAAAATCAAAATTGTATTATGTTTGTTATACTACAGTTATATTAATTGTTACATGTAACTTGATGTTTGCTGAGAAAAAGAGGACCGCCGTTAAAAAGCGGTTAGTGAAGGGCCTTTTCAGGTTGATTCATTTAAATTTTCTTTACAATTTTAAATTAAATGTAGTTTGTTTAAAATTAGAAGAGTTCCAACTTTATTCGTATTGCAAATTCTAAGATAATAAAGTAGCGTATTGATTGGTCCGCCATATTTCAGAAATTTCCGTCTTATATTTGAATACCTACATATGTGTTACTTTTAAATTTTAACAATGTAATTAAAATTAGATATTTTAAAGGTATTGACAAATAAATTTCTTACATTTGGTGCGTTCGGGGAGTCGCTATTAGCGCTACTTCTGTCATTCTATCTTCGTTACTTATTAGATGTAAAACAAGGATAGAGTGCAACACAAATAGCGCTAATAGCATCTCCCCGAACGCACCTATTTATACACATCGGCTTTGAATCGTATGATAGCTCTGCTTTTTTGCTCGTGCCGATACAAAGAAGAGTTTTTATTGAATATCGCTCGTCGTTGATCTCTCATCGTATCCAATGTGCATTAAGGCCGGTATTTATAGTCTGTTCTTTTTTTAAGGCCATCTTAAGTAATGTCCCAAGATGCTAATACGGCTTTCTGATTGGTTCATGACATCTTAAGATTGTACTTAAGACGATCTTAAATATAAGATGTGACTGTGAATACAGGCAGAGAAAAATCTGAATATTAATTTGATAGATTTTACTTATTTGAGCAATTTCAGCGATTTATTTCCATCAAGAGCACCGCAAAAAAATGGATATTGCTGTGTAGTTTACATCCACTTCTTCAGAGGGCAGTAGTTTGCGACGGTAGTTTGCGGTTACAGGAAAAAGGCCCTCACGTCCTCTCTCAGGTTTCTTTCTGTAAACACTAATATTTGTAGTGAGTATAATATATCCACAATTCTCGATTTTGTCTTCCAATAATTGTTACACAATATTATTCTGTGAACATAGAACGGAATAGAACTAAACAATTAATCACAAAAATTGAAAATCGTGGATGTGTTACCCGCCGGAAATATCAGTAGTTACATGTAGTTCAACGTATATGTACAATTTGTGGTACATTGACTTAATAAACGAGTTCTATCTAAATGGATATGTCCACTCTTCTGTAATGATATATATCTTATTTGGGGGGCACTTTAATTTTACCCCAGAGACATATGACTTTTTAATTTTTTAAATCAAACTTAGCGAACAATGTTCAAATTTCGATTTGCAGAAAGTGCAACCGATATTGATGAAGGTATGGCTAATCATATTGTTGTAATAAGACACATGTCTGTCGTAATTTGAGGTTAGAGCGTTATAAAATTGTTTTCCCGCGAATATTCAATTCACATCTTTCAATTCACGAAGCATGCATACAGAAAGAAGTTATTTATCTAAATAATTTTAGCAGATAGCGAACAGAAGGATAAATTAGAATGGATTTCTGCTTCCAAACTTGAAATGATTCCCGAAGAAATCGAAGCAAAATATGAGACTTATTATACAGAGACCGAAGTGTTTTCTGGTTGTAATTTAAAATTAATCCGTTCCGATAAAGTAACGCAGAATTTAACTGATCAAAATTGTCAGAATATTATTGAGGCCGAGTCGAAACATTCCGATCTCATTCCAGCAAAATACGAAGGTGATTTTTGCAAATGAAAATTTATTTTTGAATTTTTTTCCTTAGATTAATTGCTAATAATTTAAATTTTATTCGAATCTCCTTGAAGTTTCGTTAATATGCGCTTTAAAAATTATAATTGTGCAATTAAGGTGGTTTAAAAATCTGGGAATGCACATTCGATTTGGGCCAATACATATTGGAAAAAGAAATTGAATTGAAAGACAAACTTGTTATGGATTTAGGATGTGGCGCTGGAGTGATTGGCCTTCTGTCTCTTCGTAAAAATTCCGTCGTCCATTTCCAAGATTACGTTCGTATGATTTATAATTGTCACGCTGAAAAGTGGGCTGTGATTAACGAAATAATTTTTTGTAGAATGCCGAAGTGCTAAAATCCGTGACCATACCAAACGTGGTATTGAATTTTGATCGTACGATTATACTGACGAGATGCGAATTTTATGCCGGGGATTGGGCTTCTCTCGCGACATTACTAGACGAAAGTAAAAAGTACGATTATATCTTTACGAGTGAAACGATTTACAATCCTGACAATCACAAAAAATTATATGAAATTTTTAAGAGAAAGCTAAAAGCCGATGGTGTTGTGTGAGTACATTGAATTACTGATATGATGATATCTCATTTTTATCATTAAAATTTAAGTTTCGCAACGGGTAATTTTTATCAGATTTGTCGCTGGAAAAACCTATTATTTTGGCGTGGGTGGTGGAATGAGACAATTTGAGAATCTCATTTTGAAAGACGGATGCTTCGGCGTCGAGTTGGTGTGGAGAAGTCAAGATGGTGATTAATGATTAATTGTAAATATATTTTCTCTTCGTTGGTTCAACCATATAAACTGTACATATTTCAGGAGTAAACAGAGAAATTCTGAAACTCACAAGGAAACCGCATCAAGAACATCACGTCTAGTGTGTAATATTATTGTCTTCATAATACTGTGAGATATCGCCTTGGAATGTTGCAATTATCAGCAATAGCGATAGATATTTCTGCAGCGAGATTTGCTCGAATTTCTTTTTTTTCCTTTTTTGTACATGAAAGTCGTTAGCTCTTCTATTCATTTATTATCAATAAATGTTGCGACCTTTTTTTATGGCGAGAGTCTCTCGTATACCCATCCATCCTGTCCTTTATGCACGAGAATATTATCTATTTCTTCATTCGTTTTTGGGCGTCTGAAAAGGATTCTGTCGTGAAGACGATCGCTCTGACCTTGCCAAAATTCTACGAAGTGTGGCACGATGAGATAACCGCCCCTGAAATAAGATATCTGACATAGTAAATGATCTGATCTTTATGTATAAACGATCTAAATTTGAAAACATGATTTTTATACATGATAGATGCACGACACTATTAATCCACGAGTCTGTCAGCAATAATAAATGTATTAGTACTGTGAAAGCGATATATGGCATGCCATCGCACGTGACTACTTAGGTATTCTTCTTTGGTTTTATGTTTTTCGTATAAGAAACATTTAATCATATTCGGAATAGTTAATTGGAAAAACTAATTAATGTTTACGCTCATGCGTTCTCCAATTTTTTAAAATGATTTACTACCCATTGTAGTAAACACCAACTAGCAGTGGCGTAAGAGACATTAATGTTATAATTTTATATTAAACAGTATAAATATAACACGTGTACATAATAGTTATATTGTTGAACGTGACATTGACGTTATGTTAGTTGGTATTTATTGAGTAATAATGCACTAATTATTTTTTAATTATGATGGTGGTACCTACCAACAAACAGGTCTTTTAACTTGATTCTCTGGAAATTTCGCGAGCAGTTCCTTTTCTTTATTAATAAGGGTTTGTCGACCAGCGATCACACTACTCTGCTTGCTAGCCAAAGATCCGATCTGGTTCTTATACGGTCGACTTTGAAAATAATGATCTGAATCTTCCGCTGAGGTTTTCTTGGCGATACCTTCGATACGTACCTAAAATAATTAGTAGTAAATCAATAAAATGATTATGATGGAAGAATTAATTAAATGCTATTGTAAAAAATAATTTTAATTCACGAAAACTTGGCTATTTATGAGATAAAATATGGTGTAAAAAACAATGAATATCATACACTTCGTCTAAGAGATTCCCAGTAGAAAGTTAATGCAGCATGCGGGTTTTCAGCCTGTAAATAAATCGAATAATACAGAATTTGTTTGTCTTCTTGATATTAAAAAATATCAATTAAATATTAAAAAATGTCTGAATTAAATATCTGAACTCACTAATTCGCGGCCCTTCCTGCTGTCGTAATTTGTGTAAAACTTGAAACCTTCTGTGCCGAAGCCTTTTAGCAACAACACGCGCACGGATGGTACACCATCTCTGAAACAATTGCATCATAAGATGTGACAATGTGTTGATAATTAGTTGCATAATATTTTCATAGTCCATTAGCTTATTTAACTTTTTCTTATTTTTCTTTTACGCGATTTAATGTTTTTGTTAATTAACAGATTGCAAAATACTGCTAATTATATTCATGTAAACGTTTTCTCTTTCTCAATAACATACATAACGTGTGTCTATTTATATTCAATTTTATTACGAGATAATTTTTAAATTAAAAAAAGAAAAAATATTGCCTTGTTGCTGTCGCGAGAAGCATCGCGTTAGGCTCCAAAATTTCCGGAGTATTGCATGCCTCCTCAAACCATGCTTTGAATTGTCCAATAGGCTCCTTGCTAATTAAATCATCCTCCGTAAAGATCTCATGTTTATCTTTGTATTTTATTCGCATATCTGTAAAAAAAATTATATGAAAGTTAAAAATAAGTAGGTTAATAAATTTTCCAAACAAAAAATATTTTTGAATTTTGGAGTATTTTTTAATAACCTCTTGATTATTATTTTTCATTAATGATTTTATATTAATCATTGATTTATGATTAGTTATTAATTGTAAAAAGCGTCCCGTAATATACAATATTACGAGAAAATGAGATTTCACAAAAATAGATTTCGACGGTAAGAAAAAAAAACGGCTAATCAAGATTAAACTTCATAGATATTGATACATAAATATTTATTAGGGGAAATCAACAAGTAAAATAAATTTATTTGTTCCTTATCTACAATACACATTAGCAAAATGTATATACAACATTATTTCACAATGTAGTTCGTCTTCGAAGGTTTGTGCTGCTGTCGAAGTCACGTATGCACCGCTTTCTAAACTTCAAGATAATTGAAATTTTTTATTAGTCACGTAGGGCTTTCTTTAGGCACAATTCCGCCAATATATGATTAACTTTAATTTCCGTTCAAATTTATTCTTTATCTTATTTTAAGAATTAAAAGAAGAATTCTAAGAATTAAAAGAAGATAAACAGTAAATTAAAACCGAAATTAAAGTTCATCTTACATTAATGGAATCGAGCCTTAATGGTCTAAAGTGTCTGAACCATTAGGCCCGTCTAATTTTAGCTCCGGAGCCAAATCGACGTAAAAAAAAATCCATTTAGTTAAGATTTCGAGGACTGTAAAGTGTTGATACGCGTCTGCTGAGTGATGCTTATCAACATTTTACAGTCCTTAAAATTTTACTCACATTAAATTTTTTTTATCGATGACGCGTTTTGGCTCTAGAAATAAAATTTTTTTTTCTAATGCTCGGTTTCTTGATTCAACTTGTTTTTTATCTTTTTTTAATCCTTAGAACTAGAAAGAGTAGTTGAATCAAGATTAAAGTTTATCTATATAGATGGAAAGGGTCATTAGAGTCCAGAAAGCGGTACCTACATAAATTCTTTCAAGGGCAGCCAAAAACTTTTTTCGTAAACAGAATCAGAAGTTTGTGTAGACTCATCGTGTGTAGACCGTAGACTTTTTTATGGTTAAAAAATTTTAATTTTTGATTTTCAATCAATTCCAGTTTACATTGCAAAAATTTCAGAAACCATTTAAAAAATTGAAAATGAAACGATTGAATTATAAATAATATTCAAAAGATATAATAAATATAATTCTCAAAAATATTTAAATAAAAAATGTTTTTTTTAATTAATTGTAACTGTTTGTAATGCAATATCAGTGATAAAATGCATTGTTTAAAATGTAAATGTTTAATTTAAACCTACTTATGCACTGTAAAAAATGACATTTTACTTAATAACGAAACTTTTTGGACAGCCGATACTTGAACTATTTTTTCTTTTGTAATTTGAAATGTCAATTTTAAGATATTGAAACATATTTTTTCTCTAAACATTTTTATTTCAGAGTTTTACATTTTTATATGAAAAAGTGCATTTTTATTTCGACTATAATTAGTTACAACATTTATATACAATTTTTTATAAATATACAACTCTATAAATATTTTCTAAAGATATCGAAATATACGTAAAAATCGTTTAATAATTTTTATATACTTATAAAAATGAAAATTAACCCAAGACATGAAAGACATCATATGTTGTAAAAATGCCAAAAAATTTTTTGCATTATTATGTATGTAATAATAATGTAATAATGTTTGGAATTATTTATCCTTCCGATAATTTTATATATATAAAATATTTGTCACGATACACAAAGCAAACATTAGCTTATTACATAATATTATACAAAATTGACAGCTCTGGATGGCGGTTATTTATTAACTTACCTCCAATATCAACGGTGTAATTCTCACTCCGGAGCGACATGATGTTGCACGATCGTGTATCCAACCGATCCGACTGCTTAGCGACAGAACAGATGACCGATCTATGGCACGAACGAAGTGCGACTGGTGGCAAAACGCGCATGCATAGAACGCACCGGCCGTCAAATCAATACAAATGGAAAAAGAAGCGGTCTCGTCAATGTTATCTTGATGTAGTAATCTGTTTTTCTGATAACATCACAGTTCCATTACCGCGTGATAGGATTGTCCAACGACGAATGAAGTTGCTCGGAATAAATGAGCCAGACATTTTTAAATCTATTATTCAAGCTGCTAAAAATTCTAAATCAAAGGAAATATCTGAAGAATGTCAGTATATATATACTAGTGTATATATATACTATTTTTAATGTTCCGTAAAATTGTTTTAAAGTAGATATCTACAAATGTAATTATTGCGATCAGGGGCAAGTGAGAGGTTCGGAACCTCGAAATAGAACTTCTCCCATGTAGTAATCCGTCATTGAAATTATTTTTTCCACTCTCTCATTAGATGGCGCAAAACGCAGATACTGAATAGCACGTTAGCAGTGTTTCCAATTATTAGTATATTGTTATTGCAGTGATCTTAGGAACGTTTCAATTTTAAAAATATTTTTAGTTATTTTAGTAAATAACCAATATATACAACGATGTCATAGTATAATTCTTTATTGTATAAATCATTTTTACAACTAATTATCAAATGATAAAATAATTAAGTTGACTGCAATTATGAATTAAATCACGATAGGACAAATTGTCATTTGGGCAGTTTTACGGTTGAAGCATATTATATCTTTTATTTGACAAATTATTATCATTTTCATTTGCCAAAAATTAAGCACGCGTTTTGCAAAGTGATATTGATTTAAATAGCGACATCTCCAATTTTAAATGCAAATAGCAAGTTAGCGCAAATCAATTTTATATTTGTATATTTTGAATCTATATATATATATATATATCTGTATATTTACAAAACTAATCATCGTTAATTAACTATAAATATAACTTTCATATTCTTTAAATAAACCTGTCATTAGCATTATATTTTTGTTATTCTGAATTGTTTCTCACGGCTTTTTTTTTTTTTTAAATTTAAACTTGTGTGAAAGATTTGTGCGAAAGTCGTTCAATCAAACAACACAAAGTCCAAAATTAGGACATATCCCATTTTTGGATATGCAATTTGTCTGATTTATCGCTTCTCTGATGGCAGAACCACATTTACGTTCATCATGGATAGTTAAGCTCTCACCGCTGGCAGTGATCTATTTGGCGCGATCAGAGGCACTTTAATCATTCCATCGCTATTTTTCGCACCTTCGAATTGTGTGTCATCAACGTTGTTCGTTGTCACGAACGACGTAACGGTTTGCATAATAAGCGATGGTTTAGTATTTGTCGGTTTTGTAATTCGCTCGATTTTTCCGGCGCGATCCCAGCTCGTCTGATTTTCGCGAGTCCGCGTTGCATCATTCGCGATAATCCGTGTACCGATTTTCTGCGAGAAAATCGCGTTACGTTCATTTCGCGTATCGTTAGTCGTGCGCACTCGTAATTGTCGTCGGCGCGTTCTAATTGTGGTCGTAGTATTATTTTCATCATTCTTGATAACTCTCACGGTAGTGCTCCTCGGCGTTTCGATCGTGGTCGAGGTTATTTCGCTCAAACGACGATTTCCACTGTTGTCGGCGGACGCGAGTGAGTCTGTGCAATTTGGTGGTGGTTCTCGATGCAAGTACGTGATCGGCCAGTGTCTGCCATAGTAATTAGGATCATATGGACGATCGGGATGATCGTAGCGATCTTCGCCGATCATCGGTCGGAACGGTCGTGCACTCGGAAGATAGGGGTAGTACTTTTCGCTGCAAGGTCGCCATTGATCCTCTGATAATCCCACGTAACACCTGCAATTTATTAATTGATTAATTTTTAACTATCTGCTTCTATTTACAAAGCACAAAGGAATGGAAGAAAGCTGCAGTATAAGAAGTAACAGGAGGCGTGTGCCTCTTGTAGATCAATAATGCCGTTCAGTTTTGTGTACTTAAATATAGGATAAAATCGTTTTTATCAAAATAAAAAAAAAGAATATTTTCTTTATTGCGTCTAACATAAATACCGTCAGCTATGAAATTTGAGATGTATAAAGAAAAGCAAAAGTATATTACGCCGTGATATATCGGGTTGTAATAATATAGGTACCATGGATAATGATATCCTTGCGAGAAGCCGCAATGATGAGTCGGCGCGCAACAATAGTCCCAGCTGTCGAATCCGCCTCCTTCAGTCTCGCAGGCCCAAAATCCAGTGAGTTTATTTTTTTCACACTTTGTACCTCTTTTACATGGATAACCGTTTACCGTGTAATAACGGAATTCATCCGCTGATTTAAAATAAATTAATTAGTTCCACTTTATGCAACATTTTACGAATAATTAAAAAGTTCATAATTGTTAAATTAATCCACTCACGGTAAAGAGATCCGAATCCAGGATAAATTCCGTATCCGAATTTGTCACCACCGTATCCATAACCACCAGAAGGATACGGTCTGACAGGATCAGGCTTATCAGGATCGAACGGTCTCACACCATGACCGCCTGGTTTCGTAAAGAAAGGTCTTGGATCGATATAAATATTATCGGGTCTCAGACTTGGATATTTTCCGAGAAAATCAGGTTGCGAATGATCTGAAAACAGTGGCTTCAGCGGATTTGGTCTACCAAGTCCGTGAGCATCGTCCAGCGAATAACTGGTGACCACACAGTAAGGATCGAGATCTTTCCATGCGTAAAGAACATGATCACTGTCGTAGGTGTAGTCTAGACCTGGTCGCAAGTCCCTTATAGGTACGTCACTGAGCAAACAGTTCTCTTCTGTGCCATGCGTAGTAAGCCTAGGAGATCAAACGAAGTTAATGTGTATTAATAAGAATTAAAGATAATTAATATTATTTTGAAATTTTTATTTTTTAAAAGAGTAGAAAAGTGGCTTTATTATTGATCTTATTTAAATCATGGTTGAAAACAGATTTCAATTTATAAGAAATTATATATTATAGTAATTATTATTAGAAACGTACATTAATTAAATTCAAAATAAGAATTTCTTACTTGTAGCTGTAGGATAAACAAGGAACGGAATCAGTTTCTCTCATTTTCGAACACTTTTGTCGACAATCTTGTTCCGAATTGACATACGTTGCCAAGAGAATAGCATGAGGTGTCAATTTGCACGGCTTGTCGTATCCAGAATAGCACACTGTGAAAAGATTTATTAACAAAACAATTTAATTAATTACAATTATGTTCAAATGTGAAATAGTAACATGAAATATTTAATGTAATGTATGTGATTTATTAGATTGATATATCTTGCCTTCGTTTCCTTGCGGTTGCTTGCCATTAAACTGTTCCATATTGAAAAACGGTACAGTATAAGGTTCGCATCCTCTGCCGAAACTGCCTCTTTCGTATACCTCTGCTCCATCCATGTCCGGCATGTGGGTAGGGTTGATATCTTGCGATGGCCAATCACTTAGGTAACAGTTAGTTAGAACATCCGATCGTCCATGTTCCAACTCGTATCTGAAATATATAAGACGATTTACTAAAACAATTCATTTAATTTAGTCTACTGTTGACTTTAGCATGAAAAACTTACTTGAACGTGAAACTTCTACACATAAAATCGTGCGTTGTCATACATTCTGTCTGACACTCTCCTAGATCGTTGACTATTAGCGATTTTCTAACGACGTCCGCGGGCATTCCAAATCCACTTCTGACTCTCCAAAAACATTCTAGAAAAATTTCATAAAGAAAAACAAGTCCTCGTGACTCTAGCGAATTCTATCAAAGTGGGAAAGAGAGAAAGAGACAGGCAGTTCATTGTTGTCGATTTTAGTTGTTACCGGAAACACAAAGCGGAACGCATAATGTATGGTAACGCAATCGAGGGCAGTAGTGTAACGCTCGGGACGATAAATTGCATTGTTTGTTGAAAGACAATTTTATTTATCCCCTGAGTAGTTTAGGAAACGGAATAATACATTAAAAATTATTTTGATTAAATTGCATTCATAAATTAAAAATAATTCACAGTAAAGTTACTTCAATCAAATCGTATACCATCTGGAGGATGCGAGCTCGGTTCTCTCCTCGCGCTGCATGTTCTCGAATTGGCGATTATGGCGTAAATATCGTAATCACGATCGGGCTCGAGATCAATGTAAAAATTTAGGTCTTTGTATGAAATATCACTAAGAAGACAATTGTCCGTTGGGTCCGTGGGTGCTACATTGTATCTGTCCAATTATAATATAAAAGATTAAATTAATATTATATATAAATTCGATACTAAAGGACCCTACATTAATTATATGGAAAATTGGGTTTCGGTGAAATGAATCAGTTTTCACATATAACGTAACTCATAATAATGTGATGAACAAAAGATGTTATAGACGAGGCTCAACAATGGATAGTTTTTGAGTTGGTGTATAAAACTTATAACTTACAGAGTATATTTTTGATACATCATAGCTTTAAAATTATCCATTATTGTGTCTTGTGTCTATAATATCTTTTGTTCACGATATTGTAAGCTACATAATATATGTGAAAACAAATTGATTTCATCAGGATCTAATTTTCTATCTAATTAATGTGAGGTCCTTTATCATACTACTGAAAACAATCATATTGTAATTTTTCCACTATCAGTTATTAAGATGTACCTGTAGCTAAAACTCATGCAGGCATAGCTCTTCTCGCTAATGCACAGACTCTCGCACTGATCTAGATTTGACGTCAGATACGTCTTCCGTACGACTCCTCTACTGAGCCTGAATCCCGCACCAGCTCGGACGGAGCACTCCTCGGTACTTGTGGTTCCGCCGTAAAGCGAATCCTGGTTGGTCGGTATATAATTAGCCCCATATCCAAATGCGCCACCATAATTATAAAACTCGCCGTAGAATTGGTCGTTATCGTAGGGTTTAGGCTGAGATTTTGGATGGTATTTCGGTATATCAAAGTTTCCCACGTAATTCGTGTCGTAGCCGTAAGAGCCGCCGTAAACAGAGCCGTAAGAATCCCAATCGCGAGTTGGAT